CAGTTCCAAAGAGCTGTCTTTTCATGGCCCTTTGAAATGGGTTTTCCTTGCACACAACGATGTGTGTAAAGAAGCTTTGTCCTCAGACAAGACCAGGCCATTTACCTGTTTCACATCCAGAAGACTGCTAAGAAAAGTTTCTCTGCAAAATATGTCTTCTTGAATACCCTTGAGCTGGGTATTCAATACCCTTGAGATGACTTTTCATAGGGAAAGGTTGGAATAAGGAGCTCATGGCTGGAAGACATCTTCAAGAGTCCTTAGACTCAAAGGAGCTAAGAGATCTAGATCAATAGCCAAGGAAAGCCCAGAGAAAATGCTGAGAGAGGTACGGGGAAAGAAAGGAAGAATACGGAGAACCACAGAAGGAGGAGGAATGATCTTGATAAGGGTCAGAAAGTGGTTCAAGCACTTTCTCCTTCCTCAGGATCTGTGTGCCTCTTGCTCCCACTGCCTGGTCTTGTCATCCTTCTTCTCATCCACTTCACTCTGTGAGTCATAGATGAAAAGTCCCCTCTTTTTCCTCACCGCTCAATATAGGGTGGATTTCCTCAGTTCTTCTTTCTCCTAAAACTTAAAAAATTATTCTTATAGCACATATCATAATTTAATATTATATATAGAGAGACATACACATATAATACAGGCTTTGAGGGTGAATATGTATGTGTATATATAATTGAGTTACACATGAAATATAATATCTAATAATACATATGTCTACAATATAAAATACATACTATATCAGTGTTTGTCCTTGTTTATTGTCTGTCTCTAGAAGCCACTGTAGGGTCAAGGACTGTGTCTATTTTGTGCTTGACAAAGAGTATGATTGTTAATAAATAGTTGTTGAGTGAGTGAATGATCACTAGAAATTATGGTTCTCCTTAGACGAGGCAAAGAGCTATGCCACCCATTGGCCTAAGGATGGGTGACTTAGACATAGGGAATGAAGAATTGGTTGAAAGTAGAGAATATGAATTTTCGGAGGAGGGACCTGCTCAGAAGAAAAAGCTGAACTCAGGAATTGCCTTGTTCTGGATTTCTGTTTCAAAACCCCAAAGTGAATACCACCTGTAAGTCAGACACAGCCTGTGCCTGCTGGTGATCCCCACTTCCACCTCTAGTTTAGAAGGGGCTCTACTTCTGAGAAGGGGTGGGGAGGATGGGAAAGAGAAGAAAATCACTTTCTGCAGTCCACAGTGTTGAGGTAGCACCTCCTAAGACCTCTCCTGCAGGCAGTGGAAGAAGACAACCATGCTTACCTTCCCTTGGCTGTAGATGGTGTAGTCCCTGCACTTATGTGCAGCTCAAGGCATGGGCAGCCCAGGAAAAGGAAACACTGTTGAGGGTGAGTAAGAACTTTCCAGTGAGTGTGTGGTTTCTATATTCATTGGAGTCTGCTTCTGGGCCTTAAATTTTACTTGGAAGTGCAAGCCTCCGAGGGAGGCATTCTGCGTTGTGAGCGGGAACTGGAAATGTTCCCTTTTGCTAGGACTAACGCAATGCAGAAAGGAGCTGAGCACTAGAAAGGCAAATATTCTTTCTGGAACGATGACCATGAGACCAGTTATATTCAGGAGATTTCACATTTTGTAGTACCTTTCTCGAAGTGTATTAACTTTCTTATAAATAGTGAGATAAATAACATAAAAGCCCACAGCCTTACATTTTCTTGGTTGGAGTTCACATGAGTTGACTTTTCTTTATCAGTTAGAGGGAAAATAATCCTCTCATCTTGCCTGAATTGCCTGAACATTCTAGAGAGTGATCTAACTTTCTGTTTCACTTCCTGCTCTGTAGAGGTGGCACTGACAAACTATATATATATATTCTCTGCAGTAAAAACCCCAAGAATACTTGGCTTTTGAAGGACCCTGAATGCAAGGAGGCAGAAACTTGGTTTGGAGTCCAGACCTGCCACTTACAAAGCAGATGATCTCAGAGAAGTGACAGAGCGGCTGGCATTTATGGCTGAGAAGATTTAGATGGTCTCCAAGCTCCTGTTACAAGATTGTGTGACATTCTTAATGAACCCAAGAATCTATGTTGAGGTCCCGTCTGTCCTGTAATTTAAAGGAGAGGGAGGCTAACTAGTGAATATAAATGATTTTTGTTCTACAGTTTACCTACTCCAGGGGTCAGCACTATAGGGTAGGTGTGCATCTCCTTATTTGTTCTAGAATGCTCCTCGGGGAGGGCCAAGACCTATTCAGCAAGGGGCTTCATCCATCCTGATGAAACATTTGGGGAGAGGAGAGGGGGTTTATGTGTGTTTGTTGAGTAAACCAAGTTTATAAGAAACTTTGTCTAAATCCTAGATTCCATTTCAGCTTATATAGCCAGAGAATGTGCTAAAGAGTTGAAACAGACAACTCCACCCACGAGAGAATTTCACAATGAAATCTCTTGCGTGCTGCAGCGAAGTCACAGACAGCGCTGTTTCACAATGTAATGATGTGGAGGTAGAGGCCAAATTTATATGCAGAACAGATGGGCCCATAGCTAGAAGAAAGGGAAAGACTGCTCCAAAATAAGCTTGTTAACTATTATTATCTCTGAATATAAGCAGGGAGAAAATGCAGTGTTTGGGACAAGCTAAAAGTATCTTAGGACCTTTTGAGTTTATAGTCATTTTTTTCTCACATATTTGTAAAAGGGCTATAGACGATGGGATGCCATCCCATCTGATGAGTACACTTAGCATGATTTTAATTAGTAAATTCGGCAATCCCTTAGAAAGAATTCTACCCAAAGGTGTTGTCTCTGAAATATCAAAAAACCTAAGGACACCTGAGGAAACATGGACCCACGTTGGCTTTTCATATCTGTTGGATGGGTCAGTGATGACTCATTTAGAAGTCAAAAATTTCCCTTTACTCCTCCCAAATATTTTCTGCCCTATATGCTCACAGATTCTTGAAATTTCTTCTTCAGTGACTTCCTTTCATTTTACCATTTAAAAATGAGATATGAGAGACAAGTACTTCTACAGATGTAGCACTTTGACTACAGTTCTTACTAAATAGTAAATGACTGATACAAAATTCATTTTCAAAGGTGAATTCCAATGGGATAGCTGGGAAAGATCATGTAATGAGGGCACAGGCTACCCAGGAAAGTGGAGAGGGTACAACACACAGTAAGCTTGGACTGGGCTGGAGCAAGACAAATGTTACCTATTTTGCTTTTTCTGTAGATGCATAGTTTTAGTGAATATAGGAGAGTTAGGTAATTATTAAACTTTTGCCAAAGCTGGGTCTTTAGCACTGACTTTAAAGGAAATATCTGATCTGTAAGCTGTGAAATATCCCAGTGTGATATTTGGAATACTAAGAAAAAAAGTAGTGGTCCCATATATACTTCTTAGCCCATCAGTTAATATGAGGAATTCTTCGACCACATGCATAGAGGGAGGGATAGGAAGAAAGGATTGATAAGAGGGGGGTAGAAAAAAAGCTGTAACTAGGTGTCTGAGAGGGGAATGGAAACTAATAAGAACCCCCCACCCCATCCCAAGTGCAGACATAGTAATAAAATATAGCACGTTGTGTGGTTTCTATACTCCAGGCACTCTTTTGAGTATTTTACATATATTAACTCATCTAGAGAACACATTTGTCAATATCATCACATAAATATCTGTTCTTAAGTTATTCATTCAATAGACCTTCGCTGAGAGTCGATTATGTACCTAACGCTTTACCGAAGTTTGGAGTTACAGAGGTTAACAGAAAAAGGCAAGGCTGGTGCTTCTATGGAATTCACAACTTAGTGGGGGAAAATAAGCAGAGAATAAATAAGTAAATCGACAAATACCATTATTCTAGATGATGATGAGCTCTATGTGCTATCAGCACAGTATAATAGAGAGTAACCGGTGTCCAGGGGATGATGGAGTGGTCGGGAGGCACCTCTCCGGGGAGGAGACGAGTGACCTTCCACCTGAACGATGAGCAATCAGTCACATGAAGTGGGCAAGGGAGGCTGGGCACGAGGCGCAACACTTGCAAAGGCCCTGGGGTGGGATACGTGTGGTTTGTTCGAGGGACTGAAGAAGGATCAGTGTATGTGGAGCACAGTGAGCACAGACGAGAGGTAGAAGGTGAGTGAGGTCAGCTGGGAGGAGGAAATGCTCTGTGTGGCCCGTCATTTGGATTTTAGACAAAGTGAGAGGAAGCACTTAGCATCTGGTAGGTTCTGAAGATGAAAGGCATATAAGATTAAGCGCCTGTCTCATGGGTTCACCAACTAGCATCATCTTTCTAGAGCCCGCTTGTTTGGCCCTTCGCCTGACTTAACGTTTGTTGTGGTTCTAAGAAAGCAGCACACCTAAGTGTGAGAATGGTCAAGAGAGTCTCTGTGGTGGGAGCTAAGCATGTGCTGGTCATGCAGAGAAGGGGAGTGGAGAAAGGAAATCCACGAGCTAGAGTCTGGCTGCCGTCAGCTCGTTCTCAGTACCTCTAATAGGCAGCACTCACTTTTCTTACCGATTTTTACCTTCGCTTGAACATACTTTGTTTATCTGGAACTCTCATGTTCCCTGAGGGTGCGTGCATGCACTTACGTAAGAGCGTGTGTGTGTGTGTGTGTGTGTGTGTGTGTGTGTGTGTGTGTGTATGTTGGGGCGCTCTACATTCTTTGGAGCCAAAAGACATTTGGTGGAAAGCTTATTAACTTTCTTGGCTCTACCAGTTGAAGCATGGCCTTGTAGTACCGTATAAGCTTTTTAGGGATGAAAATTTTCATTTCATCTTAGATATTTGCTATCTTGGTCCCATAGACAGATGTCTAGAACCTTTGAGGTAGTGGTACATGCTCAGTTCAGTTCACCAAACATTTGCCCACGGCCTACTCTATGCCAAGTGCTGGGTGAGGCCCTGTCTCAACAAAGATGGGCAATTTGCATGCCTCGCCTTCGTGGAGCATGTCTGAAACCAGAATCAAGTTTCACATGTCAGCTAATTCTGCCTTTTCGCTTCCCCTGTGCTTTACTTCAGGTCCTAGAAGTCCACCTGCACACGAGCTCACCCCCGTGCAAGCCGGGCTCCAACCTAATCCACAGAGGCTCTACGTTGCTCTCAGTGAGCCACATTACCAGGACGGCATGCAAGAATCAAGGGGCCAGAGTCAAGAGCTGCGTTCCATTGTAATTCTCCAGCGGTCATGGATAGCTGGAGCCTTTGAAATGGACACAGATGATTTACGGGCAGAAAGCATTGAGAGGATAAAGTCTCAGGAATGAAAATCCAAGAGGAGAAATAAAGGGGGAATGCATCCCAGGGAGAGGAATAATATTTACTAGAGTATGTTTGTTTCAAGGCGGATTCCTAAGTTTTACTGCTTAGAGTGGTAATCTTTGTGAGAAATTTCAGGCCAGAAGAAAGGACTTGAGAAGCCAGTCTGACCTGTGAAATGCTACATCCTTGGCATCTGTCTGCCGGGGGAGGGGGCTGGCTGGCCTTTACGGGGCATGATATTCTTCCATTTGCCTAAGAAGCGGTCTCTTTCCTCCCTCAATTCCCTTAGAAGCTTTCCCTTTAACAAGTGTTTTCCTAAGCACCAATTCGGTACCCAGAACTAGGCCAAGCAAAGGGGATACGGTGACGAGCAAGATATACCCAGGCCAGCTTGGGGAGACAAATGAGGTAAATGGTCACCAAGTGGTTAAGTGATTTTGCCTGCGATAAATACCACGGACGTCATGAAGGAGAAACACGCGGCAATAAATGTTTTGGCCACCTTGGTATGACGATGAAAGTTTTTCTGATTGTGTCTCGGGTTCCAGGCCTGGGTGTGTCTTTGACTGTGAGCAGGATTTGGTCAGGTTGAGCTTGGACAAGGAGGACTCTATCCCCTAATGCGCTCCTCCAGACCTGCTTTTTCTCCACGTCCTCTTTTTCACTTATTCCCACCCTTCGCCTCTTCTGCACAGTCTGGGAACTCCTTTAGGTCAGGGATCATGGTCTTAGCTCCGAGTCGCAATGCTCTGTGCAGTGACTGGTACATGACAGGTGCCAAATTCATGTACGCTGAGTTGAACTATAGACCTTTCTACAGCGTCTCTGCTTCCAAGTATAGGCTTCAGCTGGGCAGAGGGGCTGTGGGTCCTACTTGGGTGTCATTCTTCAGTGCACCGAGGATTCCTGACCGCAGCGTCTGGCTAAGGGGCTGAGACAGGAGCAGGACAGTGAAGGTGGCTGCGAAAGCAGGGGATTTCTGCTCCAAGCGCTCCCCGTCCTCCATCGAATGATGTAGGTTTCACACAGATCCTTTCTACTCTGCTCTCAAGGGATGCGAAAGATTCGGATGTCAGCTTTCCTCCCGAAGGGTTTCAGAATCAGACTGATTGCTCTGTCTCGGCCAGTACCTTCCAGATTCTCTCAGAGGGACCTCCTGATGGTGTTCAGATGGAAGGTGTCAGTGTTTCACAGCAAACGCAATGTAATACAACCTTGACTCTACATGCCCCCCCGCCCCCAACAAAAACGGCACTGTTTTCCCTTGCATTCTTTAGGTTGCTACCATCCACCCCGCAGCATTGCTGCTACCCTAGAATCCAACTTGCTTGCCACCACTAATTGCCTTGCCTCCGTGCTCGCATGTGCTATCTTGTCTCCTCCTAAATATATTATGTATTTCTCCCTCCTCTCAGTCTCAGTTACAGATTCCTTAAAACAAACAACTGGTCACCCTGCCTCAAGTTCATGCTGTTTCCAGAGATAACTTCTCGAGACACAGATTTATAGTGACTGCCTCGGAGAGCATGCTTGTCACCCACGGTGTACGTGCAGAACCCTTAGGAGGGCATAAAAAGCCTTCGAAATCTGATCTCAGGGCACCTGACCGCGTTTTCACTCCGTTCTCTCTTTTCAGATATACTGTGCTCCCATGGAACCAAGCCATGTGCAGTTCTGAACCCCATTACGTTCTTTGGGCCTCGAGGCATGATGTGTCATCGTCTAGAATACGCCTCCAGCCTCTTGCCGTGCCCTTTCTCCATGTCAGCCTTGTCAACATCTACTCAGTGTTCACGATCCAGCTCAAGCATCCCGGCTTCTGAGAACTTCTCCTCTCTCCCTTTCCCATCCATGCACCCGACCCAGTTATTCACACCCTTTTCTGGGACAGCAGTTTCCACCTGACTCTACTCTGGGATCTATCATAGGGCGCCGGAATTTTCGCTGTCTACCCTTTTGTTCTTCACCCGTGTCTCGTTCAGGTTTAGGTTCCCTGCACCTTACACTCAACTTCCTGTTAACTCCGTGGCTTTGGAGACATTAGATAACCTCCCCCGCCCCCCACCCCCCGCCAGCTTCAGGGGCCCACTTCACAGATTGTTATGAGGGGTTAACACGATACCTACAGCACAATGCCTGGCACAGTGTAACTATCTAATAAACGGTGCTGTCTGTTGATGTTATCTATTAGCCTAATATCGATGCAGATAAGAATCGTCTGCTGGAGATGTCAGGGACTGTGTATGTATGTCACCAGAAGGAAGGGTTTCTTCTGTGCTTTGGGCTTGACGTAATGGATTTCGAGGAGAGGGTACAGGTCCACTGTTACTTTCAGCTGCTGAAGGGAGATTTTCACTTAGGGCCCATGGTCATCCTGGAGGAAAGAGAGGCGTGAGCTTTGCCTGGGACTAGTCTGGAGCTGTTGGTATGGAGGGTGTGGGGTGCGTGCAGAATGAACAGGTTGCTGTGTTACTTGTGCTGTCATAGGATTTTCAAGGCAAGACGGTTACAAACTGGACGGAATCATAAAAAATCTTACCTAGGTATATTTTATGGTTTGAGCCAACTATTAAATGGCTACTTTGAATCTAGCACAAAAGAAGCTCAAGGCATTGTTTTGGCCTTAGGTTATTCGCCTCCTCCCTCTTCCTGCCCCACCATGAGGAAAGGAAGCTACTTTCATTTTGGCATTAATGCATAGTCCCAGACATGCGTGATCCAGTGTGGTGTGACAGAGACTCAATTCTCTCAGAGCGCAGTGAAACGTGAGGTCAGCATGCACAGAGACCTGGGAAAAACAAACTGATTTAAGGCACTACACTGGGAAACTCTGTTCCATTTCCTTCTGAATGGAGTCCACAGTGGTGCTGGAAAACCATCTGGAGAAACCCAGCCCCAGGAGAAATAGCATGTTGTAATGCATTTGATTAAAAAAAGAAAGGGAAAAACCATGGTGTGTGTTATCCTCATGCTAAGACCGGGGGGGGAGCCAACAGCCTGCGAGTGGTGGTCTACAGAGATTTCGCCTGGATTACTTTAAAAGCACTTTTGCAGAGCCAGGCAAATGAAAGTCATGTGTTTATTCATTAAGGAGACCTTCTCTTGGGGATATTTTATTTGCAGCTCTATAAAGAGGCAAAACCTCCACATTTTTAATCTTCCGTGCAAGAACTTCTAAGCACTGGAAAAGCAGTCACAGGAAGAATGAGTTTGGATGTCTCAGAAATCCTGATAAAGTTTGGGAACTTGTCCAGGCTCTTTGAACTTTTTGGCTGTGTCATATCGGATTCTGTCTGTGGTAGCAAGTTCACTTGCAGCGTGTACATTTCTCAGGCTATTTTGGTGTTTTTATCAAGGGCTGGGCCCAGCCCCAGAGGAGAAAAGCACTGAGAGAGTCCTGAGCATGGGGATGTCTGGATACCCCCAAATTTCCTCAGCCTTCAGTGGGAGTTTGAGAGACACGCGGGGGTCATTTATTCCATCCGGGGGGAAGTGTTCTACTGATCACAAGTGGTCAGTCTCCAAGCCTCTTAGTCAAGTGGTACCAGTCCAGTACAAAGGGTCTTGCCATAACATTCAAGGCCTGGTGGGATGAGACCTTCTCTTTTATTGTTTGGAAATTTTGGGAGGTTGAAGCTCCCACTCAAGAACTCAACACTGCTCTGTGTCTTTGGTCTGGACTATGCAAAAATGAATTCAAACACAGACAGTCAACTTCAGCTCTTTGTGATTCTTTGTACAGGCATAGTGATCAGACAGGGCACTTGGTAAATGTTTTTAAATGTGTCGAATCCAGAGAAGGATGGAAAGGGGCTTTTATGTCCCTGTCCCACTTAATTTTGTATGCCATTGGACACACAAGGGCAAATGGAATTGCTTTTGAGGGAATATGATTTAGGAGAAAAACATGTGCATCAGTGATCTAATTTCGCATACATTTAGCAGATTAAAACAACAAAGAGTTATCGCGTGGTTTCTGTGGATCAGAATTTAGGGTGGCCACGCTGGGTGGTTCTGGCTCATGGTGTCTCACGAGGCTGCAGTCACAATGTCAGCTGGGGTTGTGGTCATTTGAGGGCTTGGCTGGGGCTGGAAGATCTGCTTCCAAGGTGGCTCTGTCACAGGGCTGTCGCAGGAATTCTCTGCTCCTTGTCACATGGGCCTCTCCATGGCGCTGCTTGAGTGTCCTCATGATATGGCAGCCAGCTTCCCCCAGAGTGAACTGAGGAGAGATGGAGAGCAAGCGGGAAGCCACAGTGGCTTGACCTAATTTTGGGAGTCACACACCCGCCTTCCGCCATATTCTCTTTATTAGAAACGAGCCGCTAAGCACAATGTACTTTTAAGGGGAGAAAAATTAGCGTCCACCTTTGCTGAGAGAAGTATCGAAGCATTTGTAGACATATTTTAAACTCAACACACTAGGAGCCTCAGAGCTCATTGATATTGACGTGAATCTCAAGTCCGCCACTTAATAACTGCATTGCTGGGGGCAAGTTGATGAATCTCTGGGACTTAACTTCTCATTTATGAAGTGATATCCAATAAACCTGCTTTGAAGTGTTATTGACACGATTAGAAATTATGCTTATAAAATACTTCAAATAAAAACCAGGTCATATTTACAATGAACATTGTAGCTATGATTAATGTCATAAATTCTAACATTGTTAGAGCATACCCACTGAGAAAAATAGGGGAATCCCACTTTTAAAATTATTTTTGAAAAATGTTTGTGTATTCACTTTGAGAGAGAGAGAGAAAGAGAGAGAGCACACGCATGAGCAAGTGGGGGAGGGGCAGAAAGAGAGGGAGAGAGGGAATCCCAAGCAGGCTCCGTGCTGTCAGCACAGAGTCCAAAGTGGGGCTTGATCTCATGAAATCTGAGCTGAAATCAAGAGTCAGACACTTAACTGACTGAGCCACCCAGGGGACTCACATTTTAAAATCTACTCATCTAGAGAAAAGGGTTCGTCCCTCCTGCATTAGAGGCACCATCTTGTCCCACGATTCATTGCGCTGATTGGTTGTTCTGTGTCAGTGAGTCTCTTCAGGGCATTGTACCTGGAGATGACATCTGTCACACCCTCTTTCGAAGAGCTGATCATAAAACACACACGGACACACACCCCACTCTTTCAGTGAGTGCGCCATTTAATACATTCCCATCATCTGAAAACAATTATCTTGTGGACAGTGATGGGACCGGATATGAAAAGAGATGGAACATGTCAGAATGAGGCATTTGATGGCAGATGGTTTTTACTGTTTCACAACGATGCTTCCCCCAGAAGCGAGGGTATGACAATGAGGCCAAACCGTTGCCCGGTATGAGGTTGTTGCTCAATGGAGTGATTAGACCTCATCCCCCAGCCTTGGAACAGTAGCAGGGTGGCCCAATTGGCACTTTTATTTTTATTTATTTATTTATTTATTTATTTATTTATTTATTTAGAACGAGGCCCCATGCTTCCCAAGAACCATTAAATTCAACTGGATTTCAGCAACTGGTGAGGTTACCTCAGCAAAGGCCTGTTTACATGCGGTAAATTCAAGGTTTCTGGAATTGAAGGTGAAACTGGCAAAGCCACCATGAATCCAGGAAGCGAGGGAAAAGCAGTATATCCGTGGTGCAAATGTGGGAACAATAAAGAACAAAGACCATGATCTTCCTGCCCTGGGAAGACACTGTTCCTCTCCTTTCTACCTCCTACTAGTCAAAGGCAGGGAGGCGGTGGGGGGTGGGGGGGGGAAGGTTCCAGTTTTCCCTGGAATGAATTGTCAAAACTTTCCCCTCCAGGCTTGAAACGGGTTCCCCTCTGAGCAGTTCAGCACATTGTCAAACCAGTCTTGACTTGAAAGACATATGGCATCAGCATGGAAGATGTCATGTAAGTTACCCCCACCCCCACCCCCAAGATTTTCGAAAGATGTTACATCCTGCATCTGGGGCCTGCAGAGCTGAGGTGGTGGAGAGCAGGCCGCTCTGCAGGGGAAGCTGCCAGGGGGCCGGAGACCCCATCTGGAGAAGGTCCTGAGCTGGTTTCTGTGGAGCAAATGAAGGAGAAAAACAACTGACCGGGCGGGGGGTGGGAAGACAAAGCAGGCGACGGGAAACGTTGGTTTTATGGAGCTTGCAAACCTGAACTCAAATATTAAAAATGCTTTCATCAGTCTCCTTAATCCAGAGAAATTCTTTTTGGCTTAGATGGGAGGAAAAATCAGTCCCTTAAGGGGAAAGCGAGAGGAGAAGGAGGTAAGGATATGAGTCAGATTCACGGAATTGCCGGCAAATGACTTCGTTTTAGGAGGTGCAGGGGGACTGTTCGCAGCTGATCCAATGTTGCAGGCCACGGATCATGCCCGCCTGCCTTTTACAGATTTCTCTCTCTACTTCAGAAAAGAGTTTGACTCCATTAAGTGGGGGGAAAGGTGAGGGGGGGCGGGGGGAAAAAAAGCTATTCTCTCTTGTTTTCTTTTTTCTCCGGGGAGTAAGCAACGCTTGGGCTCCAAAGCTGTGTTTTTCTTCGGGTTTCGCCTTTTAATAGGGGTTGAAGAAAGTGGTTATAGACATTCGAAGGGAAGTAAAGCCTGCGGTTTATTAACAGGGCTGGTTTTAATCAGCAGTGATTTGACTAGGGTAACATTAGAGCTACAACACTGATAACCGATACTACGATTTTCTATGCTTTTAACCCCAAACTGAAGTCTTGCGGATTCACTGACAGACACGCATTTGTTTCCCTGGCCAGGCTGTGGGGAGTGAGTGTTTTGTGAGGACAGCATCCGCTGAGGACAGAAGTAGTGGGGCGGGGGAGTCTTCTCAGCTGGAATGCCAGCTTCAAACCTTGGGGACGCAAGGGCTGCTCAGTGAGGCCAGCGGAGGCGAGAGGGAAGAGTGGAAGGCAGGTTCTAGCTTGGAAGCCAGATGGATCTGGCCACTCTGGGTCAGGGCGCAGATGGTCAAGTATTCACGAATACTTCTTCAACAGACCTGAGGTGACATCTCAGGTCGTGACACCTTACAATTTCCAGATGTTGTTTTTCCTCCTCCTTTTAGGAAAGTTGAAAAAGTCTAGGCCACTTCTCAGGCAGAAGGCTGCTCTTTGGGGTAACTCAATCCTGTCCTACGTGGAACAAAATGTTCTGGATCTCTCCCTCCGGTTAGCATGGCCTCCGCCCAAATCACTGCCAAGATCCCAGTGAATTTCCAGTTTGACCTTAAAAATCAAGGTCAAACTCCTGGACTAGTCAGCAACTCCGGTTTGCCGTGTTTATAGCCAGCGGTAGCAATAAGGTTTCTAGGTAGGTTCCCTGCAAGAGGAAGGCACTTTGTTTTTCAGTGTATTTTTTTTTTAATTGTTTTAAATGTTTATTTTTGACAGAGAGAGAGAGACAGAGCATGAGTGGGGGAGGGGCAGAGAGAGAGGGAGACACAGAATCCGAAGCAGGCTCCAGGCTGTGAGCTGTCAGCACAGAGCCCAACGCGGGGCTCGAACTCACAGACCGTGAGATCATTACCTAAGCCGAAGTCGGACGCTCAACCGACTGAGCCACCCAGGCGCCCCTTTCAGTGTATTTTTTTTTATCTATCTATCTATCTATCTATCTATCTATCATCCATCTATCATCATCTGTCATCTATTTTTAGCAAGCTCTTTTATCAGTCTTCTTAATCCACAGGGGTGGGATTTGAACTCAGGACCCTGAGATCAAGAGTTACATACTCTACCGACTGAGCCAGCCAGGTGCTCCCACTGTATTTTATAAAAGGAGAAACAGAGGCCCAGCATTTACCTTTCTCCTACTGATTGCTTAAAAGACAAATGAGATGATGCACCAAGTTCCTGGAGAAAGTGAGAGGTGAGGGTGGTGAGGGGAGTAGACCCATCCCCCAGCCAGTCGTCCTCACATTTCTGTAATGTTTCGTGGTTCTTGTTTACACGGATACAAATTACTCTCTCAGCCTAGAGAGTGCTTTGGGCGCGTAGAGTTTCTTTCTTGTTCTCATGCCAGAGAGGCAGTAGCCAATCCCCAGTCTCTCCCTCGATGTTCCTTGTGAAAGGGGGCACATATCCAGGAGATGGCTGCCCAAGGTGATGGTGGAACCATGGCATGGAACCAGGCATGTGGCCAGGAAGGAATCAGAGTGAGTCTGCGTCAGTGTTGGCTCAGATCCACCTACCCAGCACCCCTGGCTTCCTCTTGCCTCTCCCTCTGACCACACTGCCCTTGTGTCCCTCTTTAGTGGGCATCCCTGGGGGAGGCTGCCCAGTTCACAGTACCAGCTCCTGGGGACCTGCCCCTGACTCAGACGGGTGGGGCTGTGGAAGCCATGTCTTACCACCCTGGGCTGAGAAGCAGACAGCTCAGCTCTGGAGCAATACATTCTCTCTCTTGGGAATATGAAATCATACTGAGAATCACAGAGACTTGGGTTTGTTAGAGCCGAGTCTCATGAATGACAGCCTTTTGGAAGAATGGTTGCCAAATATTGTTTTCATTACGGGTGGGTTAAAAAATGGGACATGTATTCCCACTCTATTTATATATTTGTAGATTATATACATGTATACTTTTACTGGCTAATATCTCAAGGCACACTATATTCTTAGGGTTTTTTTTAAATGAAAAATAAGATGGCCTTGGTAGTAACAAGCACACCCAATGCCCGAATCTTGGTTTCGAATACCATTCTCCAATGAAAGGAAGCAGGACTCCTTGGGTTAATGGTTGATTCTTGGACCGGGGTATTGAAATGCAGAAGATTAGCCAAGAGCATCTTGTAGTGCCAGAAAGTAGGGAAACACTCAAACAAAACAAAACAACCTAATAATGGGGGTATGCCACAGGGACACAGGAGCCAACTGAAAGAGCTCCCAATGGCCAAAACTGGAAAAAATGGAGCATCAAAATAATATGGCATTATATCCAGAACATAAAATAAATATCCGTGAGTCCAGATTGATATAAACCAATGATTAAGTAAGTAAGTGAAGAGGAAGAGGCAAATTTCATTTGGAGTGCTGAAGCATTCCAAGTAATTTATGTAGATAATCCAGGAGGTGGAGCATAATTCCTTGCTTCTTAAGTGTGGGCCACACGTGGTGACTTCCTTCGAAGGGGACAGTATGGAAAAAGGAGGCAGGGGGAAGCAGCTTTCCAATGGAGAAACTTGAAAATCTCTACCTCCACCAGGTGATCAGGTCAACATCAACAGTCATTAAGTCAGGTTGATGGTATTTGATATGATGTGATGAAAACGGTGCTTTATTTCTATTGGTCTTTCCTCTAAAAATGCATAACCCCAGACTAGTCATGAGAGAAACATCAGACAAATCCCAATTGAGAAACACTGGGCAAAGCACCTGCCCAATACTCCTCCAACTGTCAAAGTCATCAAAACGAAGACGAGTCTGAGAAACTATCACAGCCAAGGGAAACTGAGGAAGAACGAGGATATATATATATATATATATATATATAACCAAATATAATGTACCATACTGGATGCCATGATCAAATAGAAAAAGGGCACTAGATGAAAACTAAGGAAATCTGAATTAAGTTTGGACTGCAGTTAATAATAATCTACTAATATTGATTCATTAATTACAATAAATGTACCATGCTGGTAAAAGCTGTTAATCATAGGGAAATTGAGGGTGGATCATATGGGACCTCCCCATCCTATCTTTATGATTTTTCTGTAAATCTAAAGCCGTTCCAAAAAGAGAAGCTTATTGTTACGGGATGAATTGGTTAAAACATCATCCTTCAGGGGCCCCTGGATGGCTCCATTGGTTAAGCATTCGGCTTTGGCTCAGGTCATGATCTCCTGGTTCATGAGTTCAAGCCCCCCATCCGGGTCTGTGAAGACAGCTCAGAGCCTGGAGCCTGTTTCAGATTCTGTGTCTCCCTCTTTCTGCCCCTCCCCTGCTCGTGCCCTGCCTCTCTCTGTCTCAAAAATAAGTGAACGTTAAAAATATTTTTTAAAATCCCATCATCCGTCAGCAGCATCCCTGGCCTCTACCTAGTAGATGCCTATAGCATCCTTCCAGTTGTGACGATACAAATGTCACAAGTGTTAGCAAATCCCACCCCCCCCGCCGGGGGGGGGGGGTGCAGATCTTCCCCAGTTGAGAACCATTTGCCTTAAAGAAAGGCTCGATTGAGTGGGAGGGCCGGTATGAGGTAGAAAGTTAAAGAACTTTCTCACAAATAAAAAACGGCCCCTCTAATTTTGCCAGCTACGTATTTGTGTGCGTGCGTGTACTTACTCATCATTGTTGGCTGAATTAGAGGAAAGTAGACAAGCTGATTCTTCATGCTATAAGGAGCTGGTGCAGAGGATGAGACGACAAGGTCATAGGAAGGTCGGAAAGAACAAACAGCGGAAGACCTCAGAAGCGTGAGGAGCAGAGACAACAAGCAGCAGCGGCACAGGTAATCGAGGGTCTGACGTGGGCGATGTAGCTCCACGCGCTGCGGGGAGGAGCTCCTGCATCCTCCCTACTAAACTCAATTACACAGGTATGTATTGACCGCTTGCTCTGAACTAGGCTCGTGCTAACTGCCAGGCTTCTAGGTCACCCTCCTTCACGGCCGGTTGCTTCTCCCAAGCTCGTTCCTTCCCTTAAGGTGCTCACGATGCTGCCCGGAGGCCCGGGCCACCCTCCAGGCTCGGCAGTTGGGCTCCGCCTCCTCAGAGACAAACCACTTGCTCAGGTCTCTCCCTGTCAATAAAATTGTCCAAGACCCTTCATCTCTGGCCTTTGCTGTGCACACACACACTATTATTTGACACAGTATATGCATATAATTATATATTATGCATATATTATATAATAATTATACACATGTTATATGCATGAAATATATGTATATGTAATATGTTATGCATGTGTATATGTTACATTATATAGTATTAATATATACTATATTAATATATATTGTATATATACACACAATACATACATATATTGCATGTATTAATAATGTATATAATATATGTAACTATATATACACTATTAATTACAGACACACACTATTATTATGCACTATTATATGCACACACAAGTATTATACACAGTATATAAATATAATTACATAAATATATTATTATACATATAATACATATATATGTATATGTATGTAATATATTACATACATGAATAGACTATATCCCATTATACATTATTAATATATACAACACATAATATATAATTATATATAAATTATGATGTAATTATATATAAAATTGCCTACACTTACACTATCACATATACATTTAATTTATATATTTAATTGTATAAGCTACATTGGTTATCTTCTTTCTAGCTTTATTGAGATATAATTGACCTACAACATTGTGTAAGTTTAAAGTGTATAACATATTGATTTGATGCACTTAATATATTGTGAAATGATTACCGCTGTAGAGTTAACTAACACGTCCATTACCTCAGTTAATTACCATTTCTTTTTGTGGTGGGAATATTTACGATCTCCTCTCTTAGCAACTTTCTCTCCCCCCCCTTTTTTTTCAATATATGAAGTTTATTGTCAAATTGGTTTCCATACAACACCCAGTGCTCATCCCAAAAAGTGCCCTCCTCAATACCCATCACCCACCCTCCCCTCCCTCCCACCCCCCATCAACCCTCAGTTTGTTCTCAGTTTTTTAAGAGTCTCTTATGCTTTGGCTCTCTTCCACTCTAACCTCTTTTTTTTTTTTTCTTCCCCTCCCCCATGGGTTTCTGTTAAGTTTCTCAGGATGCAACTTTCAAGTATACAATGGAGTTTTGTTAATTAACTATAGGCACCATGCTATGCACTGCACCCCAGGATGTATTCATCTTATAACTGGAAGTTTGCGTGCTTTGACCAACATCTCCTCATTCGGCCCGCTCCTCCCTCTTCCCCCCAGCCCCTGGCAATCACCACTCTCCTCTCTGTTTCCATGAATTCAGCTTTTTTAGATTCCACGTGTAAGTGCCAGCATATAGTATTTGTCTTTCTCTGTCTGACTTATTTCACTTAGCATAATGGGTTCAGGGTCCATCCATGTTGCAAATGACAGGATATCCTCCTTTCTCGTGGCTGAATCATATTCCACTGTATATGTATACCAGGTTTTTTTTTTTTTTTTTAATCCATTCATCCACTGATGGGCACTTAGGTTATTTCCATATGTTGGCTATTTTGAATAATGCTGCAATGGATCCAGGGGTGCAGATATCTCTTTGAGATCCGGATTTCATTCCTTTTGGATGGATACCCTATATGGGTTATCTCTGTCCTTCTAAATCTTCAGTGTACTTGAATATCCCTGATCAAATGTCACTTTTGCTATGAATACTTCCCAGTTTTACCAGTCACAAGTAGTTTCTTTTTCTGCCGATTTCCACTGCTCTCCCAGTTCCTGGACAAAGGTACAAAAAGCCTACATGTCTCTTCCCTAAAAGATTGCACTCTGCTGTTGTCATGAGAGTGTAATCATTGTTGTGTTATTTTAATCTTTGTACCCTTTGTTAACCCTGTGGTTAAAAATTATTGCTTAACTACAAAGCTATTTTAACTGAGGTCTGGATTATTAAAAATAAATGAATATCTTACCCTGTCATCCTTTTGACATATTCGCATTTCAACAGGAACTTTCTGGAGAAACACAATGCTGAACTTAACAAGATTTGAGGGTGGCCATTTAAGGTACGAAGCCAGGTTAGTCATATTAATTAGGGGCAAGTTTTATCTCGGACTCCAAATCTCATTCTGTGGGTGGAGGCCTCATCTACTTATGCCTGAGACTTGCTCTGCCTTTATTCTTAATACATGGGGATCAAGATCGAAGAGTTGGATTTTTATGGAAAATACTCCTCTTGGACATTTTCTGTTAGCCTTTCCTGTATACAAAGCACCCCCAAACTTAGTGACTTAAGATGGTAATGAGATATTATTTTTAAGCTTCTGTGGTTGGCAAAGCAGTTCTTCTGTTGGTTTTGTATGAGGTCATTCACGTAGGGGGTCAGCTGGGCCAGAGGTCCAAGATGGCGGGTGATACTGGCTCTTGTCCTGAATACCCGGTTTCTCCTCCATGTGCTCTCCCGTCCTCCAGGAGGCTAGACCAGCTTCCTGACATGGCAGCCGCAAGGTCGCATTCCAAAATGGCCAGGGCAGAAGCTACCATGTTTCTTGATTCCAAGGCTCCAGATTTCACACAACAGGAATTCCACAACATGCTATTGATCAAGTCAACTCACATGCCAGCTGATAGTGGAAAGATGGGGAAACCAGATGCCACTTTCAACGGGAGGAGCTGCGAAGACTTTGTAGCCCTATGAAATCGACCAGACAGCTGTGTCACATCCCCAGTGACCCAGACCCGAGGGACTGAGGCTACCACCCCACGCTATGCAGAAGTCCTCTACTTATTCTCCTCTCAAAGGGACAGAGGAAGGATATGCTACCTTCAAAGACTTCTCTCTGCCCAGAGGTGGGAGACAAATGATTTCCCCATACAATGCTACACTGGACTGACCCGAATTAACCAATGGTATGATAGCCTCGAAGATTTCTTTCTTTGCCCAGAAGTAGGAGAATTTGAACTGTCTCATCTGTGGGGAAGGACACTGTGTTGGCTGACCACCATGTATTTCTGGAAAGTTAACCACTTACCTCTAAGTGATGGCAGGAGGCTGCCCACATTGCCAAACCATTTCTTGCAGGTGGTAGTAACTTCCTAAAGCCTAAGAATGTGAAGTAGCTGGCAAAGCATCATCATAAAACTATCTTTAAAGAATGCTGAGCTTGCCCGAGTGGAATTTAGAGGGGAGATTCTATCATCTGTAGAAAGTTAAACAGTCCCCCCCACCCCCCCCACCCCCCCCACCACAATACAGTCTTTCCTCTGCCCCAAAAGTTTGTAATAAGAATGAGTAAGATGCTGTGGATTCCCTGCACTCAAACACGAGGGAGCATTTCTTATAACATCCTTTTGCCTGGTCAGGGAGGGGAGATGTTTGAGGAATTCACCGAGCACCACATTCCACACTCACAACCGCACTCAGAGGGAAGAATTGGCATTGCACAGCTCAGGAAATGGCATCGGAGGGGCTAAGAAATCGTCTACTATCTCTCAGCTAGTAAGAACTGGAACTGGAATTCATGCTTAATTCCAGGTCTGTCTGAGGGGAGACTCACCACCACCGCCCTCTCTCCCAGGAGGATGTACACACAAGATCTGCCAGATAGATCATGCCTTGGATAAAGGAATACAAGAAACCAGGGACTTGTAGAATCCCAGAGAGGAAAGCGTTGGAGGAAGTTTGGGGATGGCCTGGAAGCATGATGTTACTCCATTCCTGTCTTTAGAAGAAAGGTCCAATGAAGAAAGATTATTGAAGTAAGAGATAGACAGAGATAGAGATAGAGATGATAGAGATAGAGGTAGATAGAGACAGAGACATAGAGATGGAAGTGGAGTTAGAGGTGGAGGTGGAGTTAGAGAGAGAGAGAGAGAGAGAGAAGGAAGGGCTGCACCCTGAAAATGTGCACTCTGGCTTCAACAAAGGCTTGGTGACCCAGAGGCATTTCTCATTCGCCAAGGGGAAGTTGGCCTTGAAGTCGCCAAGGCCTGTAGTGCAGGCCAGCCTGGGCTTTCCAGCCAAACATGTGCTATGACCTGGGAAAGGCTGTTGTTAATTCTATTCAGTTCAGTCTAGCATTATGTAGGGAAATCATTTGTCTTAAATAAGACCCTGTGTTTTGCAAGGTGCCGTCATCTTGTTACCACATATTCACAAATACCCGGGGATTACCTATCGAGGTATTTTTTGCCTTGTTTCACATTGGCGGGGCATGTCAAAGACCCAAGCCCACCCCACATCTCCCAGGAGGGGGTCAATTCCACTGAGGGAATGTCCAGTGGTTGCCTGGGGACCGATGTCCAACACTCGAGCCTTGAAAGGGGAAGGGAGAGGCTCCCATTGCCCAGTCTGGGGCTGAACCCCCCCACGTCTTGAAAACCGCTGCATTCTTTTTGCCTATCCATTGTGTGCTTATGACTGACTCGTGATAAATGTGGGCTTACTCAGCAGCAGGCTTATAAGCAGAAGGGAGAGAACCCGGTGTCCCATAGACTAGGGGCCAAGATAACAAGGGACTCTTCTCTAATGTGATGGGGGACAGAAGGAAACCCACAAATACAGGCATCAGATGTTCTGCTAGTCACATAAGTAGGAGCCTGCAACCAGATCTATTTGCTCTGGAGAAATAAGAAAGTGGTACATTTCTTATACTCAAGCACTGTTGGGCAAATTAACACTCATTATATGTATACCTGCCAGATAGGTGTGTGTGTATATATATATATATATATATATATAATATGTATATATAATATATATATATTATATACATATATACATATACATATATATATATATAATATGCTCTCTTATGGCATTTTCTGATGATTTTGTGTTCTTTAGTCTTACTTCTGCCAAGTTGTTAGAGAGACTAAGATCATTTCTTATTGTTGCACATTTCTTGGACCTAGGCTCACGCTATGTCCTTGGTGGACATGTGTGTCTTTTGACGCTTGCAACGTATTGAAAGCTTATTAAAGATTACTAAAAGACTCTTAAATTTCCCAACTAGTTTAACAAGAAGAACCAACCTAATAGTGCAGCTGAGGGACACTCGGCTAGTCCTAACAGCGGGCATGTGATTCTCAATACTGCCCTGCATTTAGAATGGCAGGTGTCTTGGCACATTCTCGGCACAAGCCAGTTGACTCACCCCAAAGAGCCAGCCCAGTGTCTGCGGCATCCCTGACTGCCTAGAGAGATTTCTGTTTGGTGTGTGTCTTTAGAAAATACACTGTCCCATTAGTAACAGCCTCCTCACCCTTTCTTTCATTCCAGCTGTAGCTGACGGCCCCAATCCTCTAGAAAACAGCACTGACCTAGCAGTTTAGGATTCTCTGTAGAGTGTCTTTTTCAGTGGAAGGGTTAAAATGCATTACATTACATTGAGTTAGTCTGCTGTGTCCTCCGTGTGTTAGCAAGGCAGCCTGGGCTCTCCTGCAGTTTTCATTAATATGAAGTGAGTGGTGGGTGCAGGGGTGGGCGTGGATAGAACAGGCTCCACTAGTCCTCAGAGACCGCATTTCCACAGTGGGCTTCGGGAAGCCATGGCTGTCAAAATGAGCCACTCAGGATGATACCTTCTCCATTCTCCAGTATGAGTGTGTGCGTGTGTGTGTGTGCGCGCGTGCGTGTGTAAGGGAGTTCAGAGTCCATTCCTCCATTTGGTCTGAAAGTATTTGATAAGTGGAGACACAGAAGTTTAAAGAGGAAGAGGTTTTCAACAAGCTCACATAGGCTGAACTTCAGCAGACTTGGCAAATGGGCTTTCCATTTGGGAAATGAGGAAGTAGGGCAATTTGCTCATTGTTCTGTTATCCAAGCATGTAAGTCATGTATTTTTATTGTAGAAAATTTAGAAGAACCAAAAAAATACAAGGACACAATTAAAAGCACCTAAATTACACTATTAATATTTGTGTGTAAGATGAAATTAAATACTATATATGTATAGTTGGTGAGGTATTTAATATGATGTGATATGTAACGTTTTATAAAATGTATTGCATTATATTACTATTTTTTTCTACAAAAGTATGAAAATATATGTATATACTCTATTGAACTTAAGTGGTATGTAATTTCAGACTCTCAAATGTGATTAACGTAAATATTTTAAGGAGGAATAAATGAAGTTTTACATTAATGAACAAATGCGTGAGTAGGTTCATTTTCCACTTGGTGGAGCGGGGCTTACAATCCTTCCCCAAATTTTAAACTAGAGGAAATCTGAGAGATTCACACTAACCTCTTCATAATGGAATGATAGTTCACCTCATCCTGACTCTGTCACCAAAACATGCCAACCAACACATGCACACACACCCATCATTTAAATACACAGTTTATCTCACTGTGAACTTGGCCTGGGACAGGAAGTCTGGTTCTATAGGTTCAACTCTCAAAAATACAAGCAATGAAACTCTCTGTTTTTCATTTCTTTCTCTTAAACGCCCTCTGCTCTCTTTCATACACACACACACACACATCACCACCACCACCTTTCTGCAGCATAAATAAATCCCTCATGTGGGAAGGTCTTATGTAATCCCAGAGATTTCCACATTGCTTACGTTGGGCTGAATGTTAGCTGTTATCTTTTTTTTTTCTTTTTTGCAGCGCAATCTTTCTCTTCAGAGATGAACTATGATTTAACAAATAAAGCTTCAAATAAAAACCCGGCCGGTTCTTTTGAGGTCCACTGCATCTGACTCAAAATTGCTTTGAGACTTTAGTTGTACATCTCTGACTTCCAGATATTGCAGAAAGGTGAAGAGTGGGAAAGAAACATAAGCCAAAAACATGGGACATCTCAATCAAGTCTCATTTTCTTCTCCACCACTTTTGTGTACAGGTTAAGAACAGGGTTCTGATGCCCAAGGCCTGACCTGAATCCTGACTTTGCCACACTCAGCCAGGTGACCTTGAACTCTTAAAGTTCCAGTTTCCTCATTAATAAAATGGCTTAATAATAGTCCTCTTTTACAAAATTATTGTGAAGGTTAATCAAGATAATGGGTGTTTAGTACTTAGAACAGGGACTTTTAAACACTAAGTGCTAAATGTTAAGCAATTATAATTCTATTATCATCACTGGTCTTTTGGAAAAAAAATTTTGTTTGTTTTTGAGAGAGAGAGAGAGAGAGAGAGAGAGAGCACATGCCCCCATGTGTGTACCTGTGCCTGTGAGCAGTGAGGGGCAGAGAGAGAGGGAGACAGAAGATCTGAAACAGGCTCTGCACGGACAGCAGTGAGCCTGATGCAGGGCTCGAATTCACGAGGCATGAGATCATGAGCAGAAAGTTGGACACTTAACCGACTGAGCCACCCAATTTCCCCATCATAATTGGTCTTTTCTTAATATCAGTATTACTGGGCTAGCATTGAACTTGAAACTAAAAAAAATTGTAGAAGGAGCTGCAAAGCTCAACATAAATTTCCTCCTGAAATACTAATTTATTTTTCTTCTAAATTTAAAATCAATACAAGCATATATAACACCCATGAAGGGGTGGCGGCAAGCATTCAGGAAATTTCCTGCTTATAAAAGAAATCTAACCTGGTAAAAATAAATGAATATGCAATTAGACTTTCCTAGGATTTCTAACTACAGCATGTCATGATCTGTAATGCTGTATTGTCTGTCCGTTTCAGTGCAATACCCAGATTATAAATTATGACCTTCATAGGCGAATTACCCAGTGCAGCCAATATTGCTCGAGAGAGTGGTTGTGAGAGAAACCTAATTCTGTTAAAGATTCAGTTACAAAGGAGAACGTCAAAGCCGATGAGGTATGATGCTGTCATGGGATTGGGGTTTAGTACCATGAAACTGATCATCCATGAGTCAGTTTTTGGCTCAAATGTGGGGAGCCTCCAGGGAACACTAATAGGATTCACAAGTGTTCTGGCACCATCTCAGTGCTGCGTAAACCATGAGACCAGGGCAAGAGAGCTCAAGAGGGATAGTATTTCCTGGCTTCTTTCTTTCTGGCGTGTTCAGGGTATCAGAGCTTGGGAGCACACTGTGTTGACCAGTGTTTAGTGTTGAATGAGGCGGGATGGGAAGAGAGGACAAAAGGGTAGTTTCTCCCTTCCAGAGATCTTACCAGCCATTCCTGAAAGGGATCCGGGATCAGGTTTGGGGGCAAGAGAAATCCCCCCAGGTCTCCCAAGAGTTGATAGGACATGTGAAATAGACAATAGTCTGAAGGAAGAGACTACGGCCAGATCCTGAAGCATCCATCACGAATGCACATTCCATGGCTCCTCCTGAAGGTCTGTGAGATCCCTCTGAGCCATCTGAGGACAGTGAAACTAGTTTCCCCATAGACGAAGCTGAAATTGAACTGAATATGACAGCACATTTGCCTTGCTCATTTTTCTTCTTCATAAACGTGTCTGCTGTCCCCTGGCCATCTTGGTCTGCTCTCTCCAGCCTGCCAGAAATGGCATTCTTTGTTACAGGGACTCTCAACTGTAGGTTTGTCAGCGTGACTGTTCCCATAGTGAGCACGACAGAATCCCCTGGGTTCTGCTCCTTTTATAACATATTTGTGTTATCTGTAAATGGGATGAATTCATTGCTTGAACTGGGGGTGGGGGGCATTTCTTCATGGACAGGCATATTATCTATGTGTTTAATTCTCAGCTAGAAAATATCAAATGGCTCACACCTTGAAGAAGGATAGCCCATCAGTCAGATGGAGATCATGAGGGTCTGGCATGAAAGCCACTGAGTTCCACCATAGCTTTCCAATGTACCTTTACAAGTAAGCTACTTAATTTCTCCGGATCTCAGTTTGTGGAGAGAGTTGAGCTGCGTCCCAATTGTACCTTTAAGATCAAATTTTAATTGCTGATTGTTTGATATTATATATATACATCCATCAACCAAGAAAAGTATACATGTTTCTTGACCGTCTTGAGGATTAAAGAGATATGGGCGTAATGTCCCATAAGTACAATGCCTAGTGCATGAGAGTCACTCAATAAACACATCATGACTGCGTTGTTGTTTTTATGCACTTAAACATGCATATTACTCAAGCCAACCTTGAGTTTTAAACTCAGTTGAGCTCAATCCTTGTACATGAACATAATAACTGAAGGGATCCAGCTGCTTCCCTTGACCATGCACGATTGCTGGTTTTCATGCTGGATACTTTGGAGCCTTCCCATCTGGTCCCATGGCACTGTTGGAACCTTAGGAGTTTGAGGCAGTTCATCCCCACCCCCCCACCCCCCCAATCCACTCAACATAGGAGGGTGAGAGCCTCTCCTCCAGCTGGGGCAACATTGGGAGTAGGTAAGTTCCTGGCAATCTGACTTGCTCCTTGGAATGAGTTTTCCTGTAGGACAATATGTTACATGTATCTGGTTTCTTGGAGCAGTCCACAAAAGAATCTTGTGTGAGTCAGGGAGGAAACACATGGCACATTCAAATGGGGAATCTGGGAGGGTTTAGTAAAAAGATTGTTTACAAAGATGTGGGCAGGGTGTAGAGAAATCACCAACGATAGTGTATCAGCCTGGAGACTTGGAATGGGAAGGCTTAGGTGCCATGGCAGGAATATGTATCAAAACATGGAAACAGAGCCAGGCCCCTACAGCACAGAGACACGACTAGCTTGTGTTCCTTGGGCAGGGAGCCAGGGGAATCAATATCCCCTCCTCAATCTCTTATTCCCCATTGAGTGAACCCAACCAGAAGTCAAAGAACCAGGAACCAATCTGTGTAGACAATTCAAAATCTTTTTTTTTTTTTTAATGTTTATTTATTTTGAGGGAGAGAGAGACAGAGTGTGAGCAGGGGAGGGGCAGAGAGAGAGGGGGATACAAGCCCCCAGCTGTCAGCGCAGAGCCCGATGCGGGGCTTGAACTCATGAACCATGAGATCATGACCTGAACTGATGTCGGAAGCTTAACTGACTGAGCCAACTAGGTGCCCCCGGGTAGACAATTCAGATCAGCCTTTTAGAGTGGAGCAGGCTGGAAGCCTGTAGAGTGAAGATCCCCAATCATAACGTGGTTTTCTAATCATGAATCCAATCACATTTGTTCCTAAGCCACAAATGTAGTATAAAATTTTCTCGGAGCCACATTTAAAAAATAAAGAAATTGGGGCGCCTGGGTGGCGCAGTCGGTTAAGCGTCCAACTTCAGCCAGGTCACGATCTCACGGTCCGTGAGTTCGAGCCCCGCGTCAGGCTCTGGGCTGATGGCTCAGAGCCTGGAGCCTGCTTCCGATTCTGTGTCTCCCTCTCTCTCTGCCCCTCCCCCGTTCATGCTCTGACTCTCTCTGTCCCAAAAATAAATAAACATTGAAAAAAAAATTAAAAAATAAATAAATAAAAAATAAAGAAATTAATTTTAATAACATCCTATTTAAATTTATATACCTAAAATATTGAATTCTACCATGTAATCATTATAAAATTTACTAATACAGTATATTATATTTTTTTAAACCAGTCTTCAGAATCTGATGTATATTGTATACTTCTAGCAAGACGATCTCAATTCAACTAGTCACATTTTAAGTACTGAACAGTCCTGGGGGGCTGGTAGCTACTCCGTTGGACAGTGTAGGTCTAATATATTTTAAATGCTGAATAAATGCCAGATATTATTATTACAAAGGGCGGGAATTGAGAAACATGCTTTGCCTGGGTTTGATGCCCCCCATCACCTGGGGGGAGGTGATGGAGGCTTTGGAGGCTTGTGTCAAAGGCCCGACGGTCCCATCTGCCGGTGTCCTCCCTGTGCCTTGACATGCCTCACATGGCCGTCTCATTTACAGTCCCAGATTCTTAAACTCAAAGTGACGGTAGAGATGGGCCCTCCTGGGAGAGATCTGAGGCCAGGCTGTGGGTGACTTGAGAGGACAGGAATGTGAGTTCCCCATCTCCTGGGACTCGTCCGTCCCCATCATCCCATTCCTGCTACCTCACATCTCACCCCCCCAGCGGGCCACTTCATCCAGGCCTCTGCTTTGGCTTATGTCACATCCAGAATTTCTGCCCGTGGAGTTTCTCTGAAGAAGGTGACTGGTTTCAAGAGCCGGGCGGTGTTTTCAAATGACAGTTCAGCCCCTTTGAGAGTGACATCATGGCAAGAGTGATGGTATTAACTCCAGTGTTGGTACCAGAGGATGGCAGGGACTCAGATGCCTGGTGAGCTGGCCCCACCTCTTAGCTGTGTTTTTCCACTAAAGATTTAATTAAACCACTGCTGTGTCAATATTCCTAACATACCGCCAGTCTCTTACCCTTGCACTAAACGTTCCCGGGTCTCCAAGCATGGATTCATAGGGAATTGGGCGCGGTGGGGGGTCCTGGGAGGGAACCTGGTGTCGACAGGCCATTTGGTGAGGGGCTTTGGTTGCTCTGTGTGGGTCCGAGCGGCTCAGGCTCAGTTTGCAGCTGCACCACAGACCCGGAATAAGGGCAGGCCCTGCTTCAAAGTCTTTGGTCAGAATGACTTCACGGCCTTTTCCTCCTCCACCAGTTTCTCTTTCTTCCTCTCAGGAAAGAATGGCCTGCGTACCAGCTGGGGTTGCCACCCTGGAACCACGACGCTTAGCCCTTCTTCTGTTACGAGACTGTGGAGACTGTTGGAGTCTCAAGGCTACGAGGGGCGTGGTTTTAGCCTCATTTTAAATGGTCGTGGGAACAGGATTGAGAGGGTAAGTAACTTTGCTTGAGGTCACTAAGCCTCAGATTTGGGATTTGACTTGACTGTGCCACTTTTCAAAGTAATCGTAATAATGACAAAAATAATAGTGGCAATATGGAATAAGCACCCAGTGAAAGGAAGCCATTATTGTCACACAAGTAAGAGAAATGTACAATTGGCATGTGATCAGCTCCCTCTTCGTGCTCCTGGGCCAGAAATGGTAGCATTATATGGACTTGCTTTGTCCGTTAGTGGATGAAAGCAGATTCCCAAGGAAGTGGTGTCTCCTTCAGGGTCTATTAATTCTTTTTTTTTTTTTTTTAAGTTTATTTATTTATTTTGAGAGGGAGAGAGAGGGAAAAAGTGCGAGTGGGGGAGGAGCAGCGGGAGGGAGAGAGATGAGTGATGGAGAGCCGAGTCCTGAGGAAATGAGACAGAGGAGAAGCTTGAGTTAGCAGAGGAAAGGTGGATGGGAAAGGGACACGGGTGGCTGGGTGGGAAGGGTTCCAGGATTGATTCCCTCCCTTCTATTGTGCACATGGCCCACGGTGGCAGAGATGGTGGCTGTTCACTGAACAGTCCCCATGTGCCCCTGCACTTTCCAGACCCCCTTGGATTTTCTCACTTTCTGCCCTTTGCCACATCTCCATTAATGGGACTACTATCTGAACAATTGAGCAGACCCTAATCTGAGAGTCGCCTGGGGCTCCTCTCCCTCCCTTACCTTCCATATGCAATCTATCACCAAGTTCTTTCAAGGGTAGCTCCAAAATACATATCCTGACTTATTCCTTATCTCATGTCTTCCTAGCTTCAGAGCTACTGACCTCGTCCCAGAAACCACATCCTTTTACCTGGGCTGTGCCTCTTGTTTGGTGTGCCCGTTCCCAGCCTTATTTCCCCCTTCATTCTTTGTATAGCACGCTCTTTAAAAACATAAATCAGGTCACATCTCTTCTGGCTTAGGATACCTAGTGGTTTTTCGTGGCATTTTGAACAATAATGTAAATACCATAAAATATAGGTACCTATAGGGTATTTACCTATACCCTCCTTAATTTAGTGTTGGCAACCTCTCTGTCCTCACCTCCTGCCCTTTTGCTCACTAGGCTAAGCCCACTGGCTTTCCTTCTGTTAATCCAATACCATAAGCTTTCTCCTGCCTTGGGTCCTTTGCACCTGTTATCCCCTCTGCCTCCAGGACTTCACAAGGCTGGGTCCATCTTGATGTTTAGGCCTTAGCTCAAATGTCACCTCCTCAAAGAGGTCTTTCCTGAACACTCAACATAAATGAGCCTGCTGATCCCCATTCTATCACACAAACCCTGCTTTAATAGCTTCACAGTGCTTATCATCACCTGTCCAGTTACCATGGCATGGAGAAAGAATATAAGTGCCGTGAAAGCAAGGACTGTCTTTTTAGCCTTGTTTCTCCTTTATAAGTGCACTTGACATGTAGTTGATGGTTGGAAAAATACTCGCTGAATAAATGAATGAAAGTATCTACTTGAGTTCGATTCCCAATAGTAGTCTGTAAGTTTACCAGCCAGATGAGAGGACTTCCCCTGAGAAATTCTGCCCTCGCTTAGACCTGGGCAAGGGACCTCTGTTGTAAGACCCTTGCTTTATAGGGCTCTACTCTGATCTTCCTCTAGCCTTGTTCTTTCTCGTAAGATGAAGACATCAGGAGGTTCAGGGGATGTGCCCTCCCAGAATGCAGTCTAGAAGGGAGTATAACATTTCTAGAATTCCCTTCTAGAGTGCCCCTCTTTTAGACCCCAGAATTCCCTATCCAGTGACCTTGAGCCTACTTCCAGAGCCTACATGGGACTCTTTTTCCATGTCTGTCCTCCTTGGGCAGACCAGCGTGCATGGCCCTATGCCTGGTGGTGGCACAGGGGCAGTTGTCTGATGTTAGGTGTGGACAGATCTTAGATGTGCAGGCTGGGGAGTCCACTCAGCTCTGCGTGCTGTGGAATGGAGTTCGAGTGGTAAGAGAGGAGGGGCAGGTGGAGAGCCGAGGCTTGCTTCTCCTCATTGCCAGTTTTAGCATGGAACACCAAGGAATCTGAGAAGCCTGCATTGAAACCCGGCCTCTGGAGCATAACGGAAGGAGGAGAGGAGGAGATTACATATTGAGCAATACGTGAGCTTGGTTTGTAACTTCTAAGTAGTTACGTGGCATCTCCATTTGGACTCTCCCCAGCCTACAAATGCTCTGGGCAGGCCTCCCGAGCTGCGTGGAGTCCTGGTTCCCTTTGCATTGATTTAAGATTGAGTGAAGGCCCTGGAGCGTTCCCTCCATCATTGAAACAGAGGGGCCCCCAAGAGAGAACCAGGAACTCCTGGTGGTGCAGTAAGCCATGTTCCTTCCCCATCGTTGTATTTGTGCTTGCTTTCCCCAAGGTCATTAACAGGATTAACGGTAGAGGGTTTGTGAACAAGATTAATGCCCCATAACAGGGGTTTAGATAAATCAATCAAGTACATACATCCAATGCTATACTCTGTACCTATGAAAACATTTTAGATAAATAATTGGAATAACAATCCTATAAGTACTAATAATCATAACAATGACAGATCTTCTTCCTTGAGCACTGGGTCTCTGTCCGTCAGCATGTGCAGCAGCTCAAACTCACCATCTCACTCAGGTCCCCAAACCACAGGGTGGGTTCTTAGTTCCAGGCGTCAGCAAGGAAACTGAGCTTGGGAGGATTTGATTATACAAGGGCATGTGGATTAGGGAGTCGCTCTCTGAGTCTTTTGGACTGGGCCACAGTTTCTCCACAGGGCGGAGATGGCATCTTCCAGAATCACAGGCCCCCCCCCCCATTCCCTAGGAGAAGGGAAACCAGAGCTCCCTTTTTTATTGAGGTATGATTGGCATACAATGTCGTGTAAGTTTAAGGAGCATGAAGATGTTGGTTTGACACATTTACATAGTGCGGTATGATTACCACCTGGTACTACCTGTGCCATTGCTTTTTTGTGGTGAGAACATTTACAATCTGACCTTCTAGCAACTTTGAGGTATAAAATCAGTACTGTTGAGTGCAATCACTCCGCTTTGCATTAGGTCTCCAGAATTTACCCATCTGCTACGTGCACGTTTGTATCATTAAACAACATCTCCTCAGTTGCCCGAGCCCCAGCTCCTGGCCACCACTGTTTTACGGTCTGTGTCTATGAAGTCAGTTCGTTCAGACTCCAAGCGTGAGTATAAATGATATCATGCAGTTTCGGCCTTTCTCCAAGCTGACTTGTCTCAGTGCGATGTTCTCAAAGCCCAGCCAGGTCATTGCAAAGGCAGCCCTGTGGCTAAATAATATTCCACTGTACATTTACACGGCTTCTTTATTCATTCATCGATTGGCGGACCCTTAGGTTGTTGCCACCTGTTGGCTCTTGTAAATCCTGCTGCAATAACATGGGAGTACAGCTGTCTTTTTGATATCTGGTTTCCATCTCCTTTGGATATATACCCAGAAGTGGGATCGCTGAATCCTATGCTATTTCCATTTTTAATCTGTCGGTGGGAATACCAATTCTCTCAGCCACCATGGACAGCAATATGGAAATTCCTCAAAAATGTAAATATAGAAACCTGTGCCCTTTGACCCTCAGTTTGCTTTTCCCTCCTCTTGGCCCTTTGATACTTAACCTCTCTAAGTCTTCAATTTTTTTTTTTTTTAACCAGTGAAATAGGAATAATAATAATACAACAATACAACAATATGGAATATTCCTACTTGTTCACTCTCTCGGTAAGATCCTGTTTTTCTTTTCCTCTTCTCTGGATGCTGGTTGTCAGCTGTTGTGTTCCCTGTGGGGTCCAGGATGTGGGGTAAGTGGCCCTCCCATGACCCATTCTGGGAAGAGCATCAGCGAGAGAGAGTTGGGAAGTTCCACACCACCCAGGTGATCTCCTCCTCGCAGCTGTCCAGCCTGGTGTACTAAATCATTTGGTTTCCTCTCCTGTCTCGAGGTGCCCATCCAGGCCCTTCCAGTATGACAAAGCCTGAGGCACAGGGTAGTGAGAAGAGAGAAGGGCCTGAGAAGTGAAAAAAAAAAAAAAGGCTATATAAAAGGCCCATAAGAAACTGTATGAGTTTGTTGATTACCCCAGACGTATTTTCAAAAGCTTAATGTTCTACGTTACAAATTACCTTTTGAAGTTACCTACTTCATCAACATCACATCATTGTTGCCATTACCATTATAAGCGTTCCCATTAACAACAACAAAAGCAAAGAGTAAGACTAGGCAATTGTGCTCTTTAAGAGGAATATAAACTCCTGCTGCTCTCCCTGTGTTCTGCTCCTTCTTGTTGACCCTGTGGTGAGAGCCTTGAATGTATGACTCACTCTCTCCTCTGGATGATGTTCCTCCCAGATTAGCAGAAAGTCCCCTCTTCTTATATATTTTATTTTCTCTTCAGGTTCCTGGCATGCCTGTTCTTCTTCCCAAGAAGGTTCTCTGGCACATTCAAGGTGGAATGATTTCAAGTCAACTTAGTTGTCCCCATTTTCATTTTAGTAGACATCCACTCCAGGTGCTGCATGTGACACTGAGTGGAAGAGTGACGTTCAGATGGTAGTAAGGGGATCGTCTGGCCGTTGGATTGTTCTGCATGTAAGCAGACCTATTGGAAGGTCTTTCTTTTCTTTTTTTTTTTTTTTCAACGTTTTTATTTATTTTTGGGACAGAGAGAGACAGAGCATGAATGGGGGAGGGGCAGAGAGAGAGGGAGACACAGAATCGGAAACAGGCTCCAGGCTCTGAGCCATCAGCCCAGAGCCCGACGCGGGGCTCGAACTCCCGGACAGCGAGACCGTGACCTGGCTGAAGTCGGACGCTTAACCGACTGCGCCACCCAGGCGCCCCTGGAAGGTCTTTCTATAAGTAGCTAATACACATAAACTGTGAAACAGAACAAAAAGACATAATGGATTAAAAATAGATAATAAATAAAGGAAAATACAACAGACAAAAGAGAAAACATCCAACTTCCAACTAGACAGAGATATAGGCCCTACTAAATTTTTTGGGTACAGTTTTGAAAGGCTCATTAGTAAATGCTCAGGGTATGGATCCAGGTTTCCTGGATTCGAACCCTCTTTATCCTGCTTGTCAGCTTGCGACCCTGGACTAGTTAACTTGCCTCAGTGTTCTCATCTGTAAAATGGAGCTAATACAAGGACCTCTATCATAGAGCTATAATGATAAGAAATGAATTAGTATTTGGAGGATATGTAAAATCATGGTTGTCTTGGGGTGAAGCACTCTATCAGTGTTTTTCAAGGAAGTCATAAATGAATTCAACATATCCAGAAAGTCTCATGCACAGAAGTGGAGTCCCACCAGTCCTGAGGCTCTGTTCTCTGCTTTTCGGCGTGCTAGGAGTCTTCAGATACCCTGCCAGATCAAATAGTGCCACCTTGAATTAGCTACTAAGTGACAGTATATTGTTTTATTTTGTGGAACACCATAAATTCAGTTTTTCTTTTTTTGTGCTATGGTGCACATTGGTGCAGCGGTCCTCCAGATACATATGTCTTTCCACATTATTTCCTGACTATGTCCTTGGGTGGGAATCCAAGAAGTGGAATTGCCGAGCATGAAATTTTGTCTTTTTTCTTGAACTTTTATCTTTTGGTACATAATGTCAAATTGCCTTGCGCAAAGATCATGTAGCGTGCGTTCCCAGAAATAATGCTGGCAAGTACCTGTTTTCTGCATCCTCCCCACTGTGAGGATGGATATTGTCAATTATTTCCTAATTTCTGTTGTGTTACATATGACACCATCAGCATTGTGGTCTACAAGACAGGCGCTGTGCTCATTGGTTATTTTGTATTTTGCCTTTACAACTCGCTTACTCATATTTGCACATTTTTCTAGTAGGGCGTGTACCTGTTGAAGTTCTGAGCTGCAAACAGTAGAAACCAATCTAAGCAGATGGAGAATTGATTTTTGGGGGGTATCAGGTGGCTCATGTCATTGACAAGGAGGCTGAAAAATGAGGCTCGGAAAATAAGCAAGAACAAAGGAAGGGCTGGATATAGAAACCGCAGCCTAGGTTATGCAGGAGGGTAGAGGTGGATTAAGCTGTCACCAGTGGACACATCTCCCCCCTCCAAGCACTGGTCTCTCCCAAGGCACTGGTCGTTGGCTTCTGAAACTGCCCAGTCAAGGAAAAGGCAAAGGCCCACTATGGGGTTTTTGTCTTCTCTTCATTGTGTTGTACCAAGGCTTTGTACATTTGGAATATTGATCCTTTGCATGTCTTTTGTATGGGAGACACCTTTTCTTCAATTTGTATTTACCTTCTAACTTTGTTCAGAGTGTATTTGGCCACATTGAAATTTAAAATTTTCTTTCAAGAATTATACAATGTTTTCAGGCGCTCATGTGCTCATGGCAGGCTCCTAAATTGTTCCCTTTTAACTCCAGATTCTTCCATAGCATCAGATAGGGGATATCTGTGGTAGATTGTCCAAGTAATGGCCCCAGATTTATTCGTGTGTCATTGCACCCATATCCTTGGCTAGTCCCATCCACATAAATCAGAACTTGTTTCTGGCAGTTGCTTCAGCCAATAGGACAATCCAAGCACGATCGACACATGATTCAGGCAGGGGTAGGAAAAGAACTCACACACTGAAGTCTGCTCTCTTAGACCTGTGTGACCCCCTACCACACAAAAGATGATCTGAAACTCCTCTAGAGCCAGCAGAGGTCATCTGTGCCAGCCCGAACCAGAACTGTTCAGCCCACCCATGGGATGGTGAGGAAGTATAAATGTGTGTTGTGCTGGCTATTGGCTAGAATTGCTGGAGGGCATTCACCTGGGCCTGGGGCGAGCCCCCACAGAAATGTCCCGTTCAGAGTCGGTGTTGTAGCTGCACTGGCCCTTGTGGTTCTTACTATGATTGCAAGAGGCACCTCAGCAGCAACTCTCAGGGAATTTTGAAACAACAATCAAGGTTTATCGCACGTAGGGTCATGGACGGTGCATGGCACGTTTGGGGTCATACGACGAGGTTGTGGAGAGAGACAGAAAGCATGGGCTTGAGGTTCTGCTTTTATTGGGATTGAAGATGGGGCTGTCTAGGGTTTTGTGGGTTCACTCCTCGTTGGTGAATTTAAAACATAAGAGCAATAATTACAGCATGGGCAGGGAAAAATACACTTATTTTTCAAATGGTCAGTTATGGAAGTCAACCAGGGACCTCTAAAACAGGGGTGGAGTGGCCTGGCTTTTTATCAAAGTCTTGTGGCTGGCAGCATGTTTATTGGAGATAGCTGTGTGAAGAGGCTGCCTGGAAATCAAAAGCTTAATGTCAGACACTCGCATTATAATCAAAAAGCCAACTCTCAGGTGCTTACACTGCAAAATGTTTGATATTTTAAGCCACTAAGTTTTGAGGAAGCTTGTTACACATCACATGCAAACTGAATACACTAACTATACATGCAGCTCCTTTAAAAATCCTATTAATTCTAGGAGTGCCTGGATGGCTCAGTCAGTTAAGCGTCCAACTCTTGATTCGGCTCAGATCCTGATCTCATGGTGTTGGGATGGAGCCCTGCATGGGGCTCAGCATGGAGCCTGTTTGGGATTCTCTGTCTCTCCCTATCTTTCTCTCTCTCTCAAAATAAATAAATAAATATTAAAAAAATAAATGTAAAATATCCTATTCATTCTATTATTTGTTTCCCGCCTATAACTTCCCAAACTATATAACCTGCAGGAGAGAGAAACTCAGGACCTAAAAGAACTCACAGGTAATTCAATGTACTCTACACTAAACTTTCTATGACATTCATTTCCTGGAAGCTCTTTTTTCTTAAGCTTATTTATTTATGTTGAGAGGGGGAGGGGCAGAGAGAGAAGGAGAAAGAAAATTCCAAGCAGGCTCCACACTGTCACCGCAAAGCCCTGGAAGCTCTTAAGAGAATGCCACTGATTGGTCCTCTCCTGTTGACTTGAAGAGTATTTGCTTTAGGTGATCCAAAGGATTGGAATCTCCCTCATGCTTCTACTTTGGCAAAAGGCAGAATAAGAAATATCCCTTTCCTTCATTGAAAAGGTCTCCTTGGTCGGACAATTCCCGGCTTCTAAATCTTTTCCCAGTTGTTTCCTCACCCCAAGACACACTTGAATTTAACCTCTGTGTTCACAAATACATGGAACCTGCTTATCATTTAAAGTTTTCTTCGCTAAAATCTGAGGGCTCTCTCCACAGCAACATCAGGCCCATCATTTACTTAGCCCACCATTTCGTGTGAAGAAACACGATGGAGAGAAGGCGGGTGTCATTCTAGCTGACCTCTTTCCCGTCAGTCCTGAGCCCACCCAACATTCGTCAGCTTGTAGGTTTGGGAAAATGCCTTTTGGTAAAATCATGGGGTGTCAAACATTCAGAGAACTTTGGGTCCGTACCATCCAGTCTCTTAGCCCAAGGACACTGACTTCTGAGTGACAGAGCTAGGGCTAAATTACTCAAAGCTGTTTCCTCTACTGGCTACGAATCAACTACTAAGAACGGACGTGTTGGCAGTTCCTAACACTCATTCTGTCTCCCTTTCTCACTGTGTCTCATACCAGGTGAACTTACTCATTCCCAGATATGTAAATTATGTCTAAGACTGCCAAATTTATATTTGTAAACTCCAGACTCATGTATCTAACTGCCTACTCACGATCTGTCCTTGGATGTCTTGCAGATATATCGGAATTAGTGTGTCTCAAACAAGACTTTCAGTCATCCAACTGGTCTACCCATTCCATATCCACATCACTAACCTCAGCCAGGTTGTTATTACTGCTTCTGTAGACTCTCCCACCTGTTCCTGTAGACTATTCTAACCAGTTCCTGAATGTCTTGCCACTTCTCTATTTCTCCTCTAACCCGTTCTCCACACAGCATCCAGAATAGCCTTCTAATTATGAAAACCAGGTTATGTCATGGTTACCAGTTATGACCCCTTCCAATGGCACATGGAGTAAAATCCAAAATCCTCACTGCGGCTGGCAAGTTTTCATCATCCGGCCCTTGCCTGCCTCCAACTGCACTTCATCTCTCGGCCCTGGTCTTACAGGTTCAGCCACACCAGCCTTTTGGTTTCTCCATGGGTTAAATTTTCCCTGCCTCTGGGTCTCCGGCTATGCTATTCTGCTTGGAAGCTCTCTTAGCTTTCCTCCTGGCACTCTAGGCCTCGGCGTGAATATAGATAGCATCCTTCCAGGCCTCTCCTTATGACATGCCATGCTCTTTTCACAGCACTCATTAGAGTTTGTAGTTATTTCTTTTTTTTTTTTTTTTAATTTTCTTAAACGTTTATTTATTTTTGAGACAGAGAGAGACAGAGCATGAACGGGGGAGGGGCAGAGAGAGAGGGAGACACAGAATCGGAAACAGGCTCCAGGCTCTGAGCTGTCAGCACAGAGCCCGACGTGGGGCTCGAACTCACGGACTGTGATATCGTGACCTGAGCTGAAGTTGGACACTCAACTGACTGAGCCACCCAGGCGCCCCTGTAGTTATTTCATGAATGTGTCCTCCTGCTCAAACTCACTTATTGTCAACAACTCTCTAAGTACTCCCAGAGCAAAGCCAAGTCTACCTTGCTTACGGTAGCAGATTTGTTAAATGCAAATCTGGAATCTTCATGCATCCGGCGCATGGGCTTATATTGCAGAGTTGATCTCCGACCTTCTCAGCCAGAGCCGTGTCTTCTCTGACTACATCTTCAAGGGCAAAATTGTTACTTTGCATTGCTTGGCATTATGCCTCCTTTTCATATAAATGCAGGAATTTGAGGGTTTATTTGTTAAGTGCTATAAGTTGGCTTATTTACTTTTTTTTCTAAACAGGAGAAAACCTCAGAGTTTTCATACAGGCTCACAAAGGTCCAGTGATGAAATTGGGACATAGAAATGAGTGTGGCAGGCAGCTTTTGCACATTTTAGACGAAGAAGCATAAATCTTCGATATTTCACAGGATGATTATGCTTTTTACATTGAAGAACTATCATTAGCAAGGAATTCTAAAAATGATCAGGTCTGGAGTAGACAACTAAGAAAAGTAACAAGATTTGTTTATACAGAATTCTTTGTTTTGAATTTCATATCTCTGACAGTAGGGATGTCTCTCTTCCCCCTGGTACGTCAGGCAGTCTCTTTCCTATGAGAGATTTATTTCCTTCTTTCTGGAGACAAAGGGCGGTCTTAGTGTTCTTCTTGCATTGGCCCATTTCTCAAGTAACTCAATTCCAAATGATGAAGATGTATCTGTGGAACTCTTTGTGGTACAGATGCCTCATAAACTGCAAAGACCCCCAGATGCATATCGTGTCTTTTAAAAACAGCTGTCCATTCTTTCTGACCTCCTACGTCCATTGCTTAGGAGAATCCTAATTCAAGCAGGGAAAGTAGAATCATTATTTCCCAATACTCTGAGGCTCATGGTCTTTAGTGAATGACCCCAACCCTTTGCTCTCATAGGCATAATCCAGATAAATTTATCAGAATGGAACAATGCCACAAGAAAAAGACGGGCTTGAGAATCCACTGGAAAAATTCATTTGCTGGTTGATAGTAAGTAACTTAGGTCAAACGGTCTGTCCATAGCCCAGAGGGTGATACCACGGAGGCTATGGGGTTTACAGGAGAGTCTGATTCTGTGCCGATCTGGTCTTCTGCTTGGATACATTCCAACCTGGAGTTGCTTTCTTTACACATTTCTAATGAGTCCTTGTAGAGATGATGTGGGCCAGAGAGGCCCAAATACATGCATTGTTCAAGTGAACATCCTTTTCAAAAAGCAGACAGTCCCAAGTCTCAGAAAGCAGGGCTCTCCAGTACGTTCCTGAATATAGGAGCACAGCCTGAATGTTCCTTGAAGAATTTCCTAGGTGTGTGACCATTTGTTGAGCTGAAGGGAAGGGAAGAGGTGGAAAGCACAATGTCTACGCAGGAGGTGACGGGGTATGTCACCATGAAGGCCTGCTTCCATTGTTCGTCCCGAATTCACCATCTGAGACTTTCTTGAACTTTTTCAAGTTTGCAGGATACAAAAGGTATCAGTTTCATCTATGCAGATAATAAAATCTCACAGGCCTGTGTCTGTGAAGCCATTCTGTTATATAGTGTGCCTATGGCCAGGCACTACCAAGCACTTTTAAATTTTATATTTTTAATGTTTATTTATTTATTTTTGAGAGAGAGAGAGAGAGAGAGAAGGAGAGAGAGAGAATCCGAAGCAGGCTTCAAGCTCCGAGCTGAAGCACAGAGCCCGATGTGGGGCTCGAACCCACGAACCGCGGTATCATGATCTGAGCCAAAGTCGGATGCTCAACCAATGGAGCCACCCAGGTGCCCCAAGCATTCATTAAATACTTCTCTTGGACACACCTTTAAAAAGTAGGAAAAATCTTTATGGAAGCCCAAATAAGTGTTTTCCTAGCTCAGAAAATAGGTGACCTCAATCCGGCCCCGTCTGCTGCCTTGCCCAAGAAACTCAGTCCCTGTTTGCCCTATTTTAATGCAAAATGCAGTTTTGGACACAAGTTGCCCCCAGTGGGGAGAGGGCGAGGCAATTGCCCTCACCATCCAGTTTCATCTTGGCCTTTGCTGAAATTGGCCCAGGTTCAGCGTCTACACTGATGCCACACGCCTCCTGTAGCCTGGGCTCCTGCACCTCCCTGGGTTCCCAGGCAGTCCTGGGCTGGAGGCACAGCGAACACACACACACACACGGCTTCCCAGCAAGCTTCCCCCACCCTGCCCCAAGGCCAGGCCTTCCTCTTCCTCTGCTTTCTCCTCAGCCGGGAGCCGAGGGAGGATGGGAGGTCCCCACCTCTCCCCTCCACAGCAGACTGTGGTCCGGAGCCCTGGAGGACTTGGCCCCTGCTTTGTATCTGCCCTCCCAGAGGAGGAGGGTTTGCAGGGCCCAGTTTTGAGGTTATTTGGAGCTGGTGATCGGTGAGGTGTCTTTAAGCTGGTGGAGCCAGCTGTGCTGACTTAGTCAGCTGGCCTGGATAAATGCCTTTCCTTTTGTTCTCTTAAGGAAAATAATGTCAGAGTGCAGGACGGGCCCCTGGCGGGAGAGCTGACACCGTGGAGACGATTCATTAGCAGATGCTCCGCTGAACCTCAGCTGTTCTCTCCAGTGACATCGGTGCGACAGGGAGCTATTTGTTCAGGTGACGGGGTTTGGCGGGCTTCAGGCCGGGTCCCCCCCCCCCAACCCCAGGACCCCCCCCGTCCAGCACCGAAAAACACTAGAGTCTCCACATGGGCTTAATCCTCAAACCGCAAGAATCTAACCAACTTCTCTCAATGACACTTGGAGGTTTTTGGCAGCCAGAGCGCCTCCCCACAGCGATGCTGGGGGCCAGGTACAGATGGGCTGGATTGAAAAGCTGAGTTTGAAGGTCGCCACCACCGCAGGATCTTTCTCCATGTGGTCATCACCCTGGTGGGGTGGAGCCTGTTCATGACCAGGGGGTGATTGATCTGGGCTTAGAGCAGCCCGTCTCCAGGGGCCTAACACCCACATGTATTTTCAGCTAATTTTGTCAACGAGCTCACTGGATTATCTATCCCTGGTAAGGCCTCTTAGAGGCTCAGGGATGTCTGAGGTTTTGAACTTCCAATTTTTATTGCTCCCAGTATTTGAAACTGGAAGGAAATACTAAATGGGTCTTAAAAAAACCTTACATTTTAAATATTCAATCTACTTGGAGTATTTGCAGAATCGTATGCTATCCCTAGTGAGATATGGCAACAAAGAATCAGAGACCCAATGAGTAAAAAGTTGGGCCAGACAGTTACTCTGTCCTCAGCATTCAGAGTCTCTGCCTCTCCCCTCTTGGCTGTGGCCCTTGGTTTAGACCCTATGGTGAAATGCTGGGCACTTTGGTATCACCCAACTGAGAGGTAACTTGGGGGCCTCGCAGATCAAACAGACCTCTCAGAGAGTAATTGAGGCTTTATTATTAGTGGTTGATGACTTCTCGGGTAAGTTTCCTTGACTAGTTCTGACCAATAGGCTGTAGGTGAAAGTGGTTTATGTCATCTCTGGACTCAAGTGTAGAAGAGTCAGGACATGACCCTTCTTGGCTGTATCTTCCCTTCCTATAGGGCCCGGACATGTTTCAAGTGGTAGAGCCTGGTTCCTGAGAGTTAACACGTCGTCCTTGCCACGTACTTGAACACATAGCAGAGCAAAAATAAACCTTTGTGTGTAAAGCCATGGAGATCTCGGAGCTCATTTTTTAATCGTTGTATGGCTTAAGCTATTTTGACCAATACAACATTGTACGTTAAGTAGGTTTTGTTTAAGCCATTGGATTTTAATATATTTAAAATACTCTTATGTACGTGTATTATTGTGGACGTGTAGAGTGTACGATTATAAACTTTTGGCTCATACATTTTTCGTGTGCAATAAACAAAATGAACCAGGAATTAGCATCTCTGTGTGTTTTTCTCGTCTTTTTGGTTTTGCATGTATTAAGCACTTAATGCTAAGATGGTAACTTAGCATTAGGATAGATCGGCAGTAGGATTAGGAGTCTCTAAGTCAAACTCTCTCTGCAGTGAAAAGAGCCTGATACATACAGGCTGTGGTCTCAGGAAGTTCAGGAGATTGGGGGAAAGGTTGGGAATAGAAATGAGGAGATACAGAAGCCACGGATATTCAGGATCACTCTCTGCACTGAGGCTCGATTCACCCTCCAGGGCCCTTCCTCACTTATTTGGTCCCACACTGGTCGGTCCCCTTTTGAACTGCGGTGCCAATGGATACCTGTGCTTCATGTTAGTTATATTCGGTCTCCCATTATCTTTGCATTCATTCCGCAAAGATCCATTCATTCTGCAAAGATCTGTGGAGCCTGGGATGGGATCTCACGTCAGGAGATGGGAACTCAGAGCCCTAAGCCGGCCCTTAAAGACTCACAGTCTAGTGAAAAGTTCCCTACAGGGGTGTGCTCCCTCCTCACGAGAAGGCCATATGCCTTTCATTTCCCAATTTATCTCCCACACGCCCTGGTGTAATGCTGGCTGGGTGGAGGCTGTTGCATGGACGATTGATTTAATGCCTGGTCTCTGCTGGGCGCAATCAACTGGATCTTTATTAAAATCCATTCCCCGAAGCAAAACGGTTCTGTTTTCGTTCAGATCCATTTTCCTGTCTGCGATTACTATGGTCTGCTTTGGGTCCCTTCACACTATGCAATTCTGGCAAAGTCCTCTGCATTTTCCATCCCTGAAACTTACTCAAGCGCAGCCAGGTTTTGTGTTCAAGAGTGAACAACTGTGCAAACTTGTGCATTTGGAGGGGGCAAAGGCTGCGAGGTGGGAAGCCCCCCAGCAGAAGTCTGACCTGCTGGTGAAACGTGGTATCGCACGGGAAGACCATCTGAAGCATCCCCCTTTTCCTCCATCACTGACATTCAACTTGAAATGTTCTCTTTCCAGATACAAGTCAAAGCAAGACTTTTCCGAGTGTCAGCTTCACAAGCTCAAGCTAGTTCTTGGCAGTGAAATAGGTTCCCTTTTGCCCCTGGCAGAGTATTAGCAACCCAAGCACAGCTAGCTGAACGGAGCTGCACCAATGCACTGGGGTCCCAGCTGCGAAAGGCCACCTCGGTCCCAGCCTGTCCGGTTCTCTAAAGACATCTGCCCCTGATTCGGAGGGGTTCAGGGTGTGCCGTCAAGGATGACATAGCTGTATCTTTTTTTTTTTTTTTTTTAGCTTCCGAAGGGCAAAGGACCCAGCTTGTTCTCTCTGCAGCTAGATGAGCTGAACTGGCTGCAGGAAAACAGCCGGCATTTGTCAGTGAGCTGCACCGACAAGATACAGAAGACAGAGCCCAAGCAGAGAAGGGCAGCTCAGGAGCAAACAGTGCCAAGCACCGTCGAGTAATCCTTTGCAGACTCGATGGCAATCAACGCCACCCAAGGGCACCGGATGTGCCCATAGAAACCTCTTGCATTTCTGGCTGAACGTGGCTGTGGACTGGCGTTCGGGGAGAACATCTGTTGTTTCCAGGCAGGCCAGACTGCCGAATGCAAAAGTGACTCTTTTGATATTGATAAATAACGTGACTCAGGAATCCCCCCCACAGAAATTGTGCGAACCCTTAATTATCAGGGCACTTTCTCAGGGGCACATTAGAATATACACTGAATTGCGTTATCTTCACCTTGGCCCACGCCTCTGTAACGCAGGGCGGTAAGTTGCTCTCAGAAGTTTTTGCTTTTGTTTGTAAATCATCAGTTCAGACTGCAGGAAGGTTTCCAGGAATTAGGAAGAGAAAAAGCCTAGCAAAAAATACACAGAGTGAGATTCCTAAAGTAGGTTCCCCACCCCACCCCCACCCCCACCCCCAGCCCCCCTTCTGGCGAACGGGTCACAAGATTGCAATTCTAAACAATCTCACAATTAATTCTTGAGCTATGCAGCCCAATTAGAACAAATGCTTTCTTTCTGGTTTAATTAGAGATGAGTACGCGCCTGTGAGCTTATTTGTATAAAATAAGCACTCATTAAACCAGGTTTGGATCAGGCTCAGCTTGTTAGAAATGCCCTTGAAAAGGGTGCTTTCTCTCACTGTCTCTGGCCCTTTTAACCCCTTCAATGCCTAGAATGAACTTCGTAGACGTGGACGGCATAAAAAGTATCTTTGTGGCAACCTGGTGAACTTGAAAGAGGAGAGATGCGTTTGCTAGATTTGCTGGTAAAGAGGCCCTTCCTCTCACCTCTGTACGCTTGGCATCTTCCTAACCTGCCTCACCCACCGCAGGCCGGAAATCTGGTTGCGTCTGACGAAGGTCACTCAGCTGTAGCAAGAACAGGCTTCCATGTGACGTGCGTTCTTGAACGTCTCACTATCCAGAGTGTGAGCCATGGGCCAGCAGCAGCTCTCAGGTTCACCCCAGACTTGTGAGAATCTGCATTTTTACAACATCCCCAGGTGATTTTGTGTACCCATTAAAATTTGAGGAACACACTGGTCTAGAGGTAGCAAATGGTGAAGATTTTACTTGAAAAGACAAAGGTCCCTTGGGAGCCCCCAAGAATGTCACTTCCATTGAAGAGAACCAGCCCCTGGCCCTTTCTCTTCAGTGGGGGGGGGGGGGGGGTGGAATGGCACTTTGACCCCCTGTAAACTTTCTACCAAAGACTCAAATATGTCCCTTCCTGTATCCTTTAGTGAGCTCCTCTGACTGACAGGCTCTGGGTTATGAGGCAGTTCCTCCCCCCGTCTGTGCCTTGGCCTCTTACCCATCCCCTTCAGCACTGCTGGGTCTCTGGCCACAGGGAGAGAGAGAGTTCCTGTCCTCAAGAGGCTCCCGCTGTCATGGACCAAAGCTGGAGGGAGAATATGTGTGGGAACAGTCATGGGACCCCCAGCCCCAAAGTGAGATACATTGGTCACTAGATCCAATGTTGGAAAGGCCATACAACCTGGAAGGAGGGAGCCCTTGTCTTCAAGGAGGAGGCTCCATTATGTAGTATCCCGACATGTGCCAAGAGGCAACTTTCAACACTGTTCTGCATTATCGTCAAGGGCATCCTCAGGCAGCAGCTACAAGTATGACCAGTTTCTGGGTGATGGTAAGACACTGGGAAAGTGTGGCTTCACTTTCAGTCAGACAGCATGGCTGCAGGCTCCAGCCACTGTGAGGCTGGCCTTCCAGAATGATGAAGCTTTCTAGGTCTTGTGCCTTGAGTCCTTGTCTAGCTCACCTGAGGCATCTGACATGATGAAGCCACAGGACTTAGGAAGCAGCATCAATGAACAAGACGGGCAGTGAGGGGCCCCGGTGCTCCCCCCCCACCCCCAATAAAAGAGTTTTGGGTGTCAAAAAAAAAAAAAAGAATGTCATGAATTATAAAAAACTTGCCAAGCACATAAGTGCCACCTCTGCTCAGCAAGAGTTTGTCCATTTTTTTTTTTCTCATTTATTTCATCAGAAAGTAAAACTTGGGTATAACAAGATGGCAGCATGAGGCACGTTACCGACAAGGCTGAGGACTCCTTTGCTCCCTCATGTCGTTCAGCCCTGGACTTTCTTCAAAGAGCCTGGGGCAAGAAGATATTGATATGTCCTTGCTTCACCACATGGTGCCAGAAAGAGGGTTGAGCTATAGGTATAGCAGGTTTTAAATTTCTCTCCTTCCGTCCTAGACACGGAGGCTATTGTCACTGTTGATTAGGGGACGATGAAGGAGACCGGATTAGCAGGTGAGTCATCACCAGTGAGCCTTCTAGCTGGCCCTGGTCTGACTGGTATCCTGTTATTGCCTCTGCCCTGGTGATGGGCTCAGCCCTGCAGCCCTCCCCACTTCGGCTGGATGCTGGGGCAGGACCATAGGCGTCTGCACAGCCTAGGAAGCTTGTCCCCAGCCCTGAGCTCCAGCCCATGAAAGGCCCATTCCAGCTCCCTTTACCTTTTGCTGATGAAACAGAAACCTGGAGGAAGACCTGGGAGGGGACCATTCCTCCCTCTCAGTGAGCTTTCCTTAGCCCACGATGACCTTGTGGTACATCAGCTCGTCATCGTCTAATGGCGTGTGATGGCAGAAGGAGATGTGAGGGAGGCAGGCTAAGGGGGGGGGGGTGGTGAGACAATCTGGAAAAGCCAAGAGTAAGGAGCTGGGATCAGGTAACCATGCAGTTTGCTGGAAACCTTGAACATGATTCTGAAAAGTTCAACTAGAGTTCTGGAATAAGAGGTTTATTTATTTATTTATGTATTTATTTAGTGCAAGTGGAGGAGGGGCACGGAAAGAATCCCAAGCAAGCTCTGTGCTGCCAGCGTGGAGCCTGAGGTGAGGCTCCCTCCCAGAAACCGTGAAACACGGCCTGAGCCCAAATGGAGACTTGGGTACTGCTCTCTCTCTGCCCCTCCCCGGCTCACGCTCTCCCTCTCTCCTTCGCGAAATCAATAAATGAACTTTAAGCATAAAATAAAATACGTTTGCTACTTTAAAAAAGTCGCATAAGCAAAATTTGCTTGATATTTAAAAATAAGAAGATAAAATTTTAGACGATCAAACGTTGCTTGCCCATCTACCACTTTCAAACACTTGGGTATATCCTATCTTTCCCCATTTTATGTGGATCGAGGTATAAACACATAGAGAGGTTTATAGATTTAACGACAATAGAAAATGGAATCAGTACACACACAAACGATCTACAATACTATCTTCAGTGAATATAATTTTATATCGGTGCATAGATTACAGTGTTTCGAAGCTAGTTTGCTACAAATTATTACTGGGCATTTGGAGTATTTCCTCATCTGTCTACCTATTTACCTACCTACCTATCTATATCTATCACCTTTTTATGTTTTACTGTCTTAACAGTATTAAACTACATTCTTATAGTTAGATTTTTGCACATATCCTTAACTGTGCCCTCAGAAAACATGCCTAGATATCATTGCTTGCTTAAAGGGAGTCTGTATTTGTGAATTTTTAATCTTATGGCCTCACTGTCGTCCAGGAAGCTTATACCAAGTTTTACTCTCTTTTGGGAAATAGCTTTCTCACTCTAAGCTAAGGGTTTTTGGGGAAAAACATCCCTTTGGGTTTTGGGGCCAATGCTTGGAGTTAACTTCTACCACAGTTCTGCCCAGAACTGTTCTTGGGCTTTCCTTCAATGACAGAGAGGGTAAAACATGAGCCTTCAAGAACCGAGAATTCAGATGATGGCATGTGGAAGCTTTGTTCTGATTGTCAGTCTTCCTGCCTACTTGGGAGGGCCAATTAATCCCTGGAAACCTGGGGCTCTGGCGGGGAACGAACTGGGGTGGGTCTTCAGTCTGTGATGTGCTACGGGTACCAACAGGGGTCAGGAGAAACGGCCAGTTTCTACAACTGCCTGAGAGGCCACTGCAGCAGGTGCCAGAGCGGGGGCCACCCATTTCCCCTGAGAGCTTGGTGGTTCTGCTGGGTGAGCCACAGCCACAGGAGGCAAGGAAAAGCACAAAGGCACATTGGATTCAGAAAGGGAATCCGCTGAGGGAGGAAGACCAGCCTGAGGGATCAACCAGAGTGCTGATGCTCCAGAGTAGAAGAAATGAAGAAGAGTGTAACTTGAGAGAAAGAAAGAAAGAAAGAAAGAAAGAAAGAAAGAAAGAAAGAAGCTTTCAAGGAGACATATTCACAGAGCCCCCCCAAAAGAAATTTTTAGCTAAAATACACATTTCGCAAGATAAGAGATGTAACGGAAGAATTGATAACAGAGAACAATCGCTTGCTGATCACCAAATTAAAGATTTCATTAAGGAAACATGGCAGGGAGAAAGTGAGAATAATGAGGGAAATTGTGAGATTTAGAGAAGTGAGACCTTATACGCCGTGTTGAGGAATTTCAATAGGAAAAAAGAATAGATGGAGAAGTTATGAATAAATAAGACATTTTGAGTTAAAGAAAACTTCAATTTTGTAATTGAAAGGGTTCAGCAGATGTCATGCAAGATTAATAGTAGTATTAATGTTAATGGCACTGGTAATACAAACCAGATCAGAGCTGGCCAATAGCGCTTCCTGCAATGATGGAAATGCTCTGAGCTCTGCACCTCAGTGGCCATTAGTCACATGAGCTTTGGAGCTTGTGGTATGTGAACAATATGGCTCAGGAACTGACTTAATTAAAATTAACTAACATTTGCACTTAAACAGTCATATGTTAGTCACTTCCACTTTGGACAGCTCAGATCTAAACATTTCCTGGTGAATTTCGAAAATGCAAGTCTCAGTGTAAAAGCTTATAAAATTCTAGACAAATGCAAAAGCTTGCCTTCAAAGTCTAGAGAGTCGGATTTGGATTGGACTTCTCATATATAACACTAGAAGTTCAAAAGCAAAAGCAGCACATGTATAAACTATTAAAAGAAAAATACATAATTAAAAAAATCATCTATTCTGCCACGATAACATTTTTTAAACTATTATTATTACTATTATTATTTTGAGACAGAGAGAGTTAATGCAAATGAGAGATGGGTGGGGTAAGGGAGAGAGGGAGAGAGGGAGGGAGGGAGAGAGAAAGAGAGAGAGAGAGAGAGAGAGAGAGAGAGAGAGAGAGAGAATCTTAAGCAGGTTCCATGCTCAACACAGAATTCAACAAGGGGCTCAATCCCATGACCCTGGGATCACGACCTAAGCAGAAATTAAGAGTCAGATGCTTAACCAACTAAGCCAGTCAGGCACCCCTAAGATAACATTCTTTATAAGGAGAAATAAATTTGACATTTTTAGATATGTAACTATTCAGAAAAGTTCTTTGTCAACTATAAACAAGAGCAGAACAAAGATTTACATGCAGAAAAGAGAATATGTTCCAGAAACTTTGGTGTATAATGAATCTGGATGTGTATTAGGTGATGTGCAATAGAAAGGATGATGATGTCACTGGAAACTGTGATTTCAAGATTAAATAGTTTCTTGAAACACACAGACACAAATTAGGAAAATCTAGAGACCAGGAAAAACCAGCAATAATGTATCCGGCAGAACAACAGCAAAACCCTATTATGTCTGAGCCCAGAAAATATACCACTTTCTTTTATAATTCATGGAATAAGGACAAAGGTTGATTTTGTCTTTGGTTAGAATAAAATTCTAACAAATTTCAAATAAGGGAGCTTTTATAGATCATATTATTTGACCATAATCCTTTACCCCCAAGTCCTAAAACGTAGAAAAGCATTCATGGAAAGATGTCACTCAAAAGTTTAATTAGTTGAGATTTTGGACACATCTATATCTAAATAACTTCTCATATGAAAGAGTAAATCAAGGTCTGAGTTACAAATCATACAAAAAAAATTAAAATGGAAACGTAGGGGATGCAGCCAAAGGTACGCTGGAAGGAAAATTTATAACACGTTGTCTTCATTATACTTAAGTAAATAAATTAGATAAAGAAGAATACAACAAACAAAAGGATTAGGAAAAGAAGGCTGATAAGAATAAAACCTGAGACAAATGAAATTAAAACAAACTAAAGAAAGAACTAGTTTTGGGGCACCTGGGTGGCTCAGTCAGTTAGGCATCTCGCTGATACTCTTGTTTTGGGCTCAGGTCATGATCTCAGGGTCATGGGATCGAACCGATAGGTCAGCATTGGGCATGGAGCCTGCTTAAGATTCTCTGCCCCTCCCCTGCTCATGCATATGTGTTCTCTCTCTCTCTCTCTCTCTCTCTCTGTCTCTGTCTAAAATAAAAAAAGAAATAAAGAAAAACAACTAGTTTTTTAAAAAGATGAAAGAGTCAAAACCAGTAAATAGATAGGAAACAAAAAGATACAACATTAAGAATGAAGCATGAAGTATAAAAATAAATACGAAAAAGAAAAAAAACTATAGGGGGGTACTTTATGCTGTCTACAGTAATATGTATAAAACATACCAGAAATTAGTAATTTTGAAAATAAAATATAATTGACCCAATGATGGTGGAAAAATAAACATACCAAAAATTTATCCAGCTCTGTTGATTTTCACAGCTAACTTGCATTTTATATGAAAAAAAAAATAAACCTTTTCTATGTTAGTGAAATGTTCTGGTATAGAAAAAATTATAGAAATTTCCCAGTTCATTTCAAATATATTATTATCTTGATATCAAAAATTATAGAATAAACAAATGAATAAGGACTTTAAGTAATTAGCAAGTAAAATCCATCGGTATACTGAAAGAATGCCTATTACAGCATAACCCAGGAGGGTTTGTATTTGAAAGAATGGTTCACCATCAGGAAATCTAAAAACAAAATTATTAATTCAGTTAAAGGAGAAAGACAAAAAGTACCAGTAGATTCTAAAGAAGTCATTATAAAATTTGGAAGATGTTATTCATAGAGATTCTACTTCAGTTTAAATAGAAGTCAACTGAGTAAATACACTGAGACTCTCTTCTTCTGTAAACAGAAGAGACAATGGCAGTATGGCTGCTACTATTTGACGCTGAAGCTTCTAGAAAATAAAATCAGCAGAATATATGTTAGAATTGAAAATCCTCACAATAATCTTTTTTTTCAGAAGATAATTAACATATTCCTAGAAAACTTGAAAGATTATTAAAAAAAACCATTTAAAATTCATAAAGAGATTTTGAGAAAGTATATGTAGGTGTGCATATAAGTATATATAAAACATATAATAATACATATAATATACATAAAATATACAATACATAAATATGTAAAATTCATATATTTATATATTTTTATATTTGTATATTTTTTCAGATATAGCAATATGGGAATAGGGGAAATTCCATTTGAAGTAGATATGAAAACTATAAAATAACCAGGAATAAACTTTATTGAAGGACTTAAGGTAGTAACAAAGAAAGAAACACACCATGTTCCGGAGGAAAGTCTTAAATCTGAAGTCTCAACAGTCATGAAATCAGTGGTTACATGAAAGTCACTCTCCCCTCTTCTTGTGGGACATCAGGAATCATACTTCTTGATTAGAAGTGAAAAGTGCAAGTGCAAATGTGTAAAAATTTATAATAAAAATTTGGAAAAGGAAAATACTGAAGGGTGGCAGAGAGAATTTGCCTAGCCGGATGTGAAAACATACTATAAAATTTCTGGAAGTAAAATCACAAGGCATTGAAATTAGGGCAAGGACACGCTAAGCGAGCCCTCAGCCTGCCGGGAAGAAGTGGCCCTGGAGAGAAACCTCGATGACAGGAGAAAGACACAAAGAGAAATTTTCAAGTCGGTGTCTGTGGCTATTTGTGGGATCCGACAATTCTCTCTGCAAACCTAAAATGCAATTTTATGTAAAATGTAATTTTATCATTTAAAATAATAATGACCGAAAGTAAACATAATCCTATTCTGGGTCATCTGATGATCACCCACAGCTAAGGACTGCCACAAAATCTGTGCCACACTTGCATTTACAATTAAGTGCCTTTATGATCGCACTGGTGGTAAAGTGGCCCTGATTTAATAATCCTGGGCAA